GAAACTGGCCATATGCCTCCCGTTGTTGATCAAATATACAGAAAATTGCCCAGAATTCTCTGCCACCATTGTCCAAGGCTCTCTGCCACCATTGTCCAGGGCTCTCTGCCACCATTGTCCAGGGCTCTCTGCCACCATTGTCCAAGGCTCTCTGCCACCATTGTCCAGGGCTCTCTGCCACCATTGTCCAGGGCTCTCTGCCACCATTGTCCAGGGCTCTCTGCCACCATTGTCCAAGGCTCTCTGCCACCATTGTCCAGGGCTCTCTGCCACCATTGTCCAAGGCTCTCTGCCACCATTGTCCAGGGCTCTCTGCCACCATTGTCCAAGGCTCTCTGCCACCATTGTCCAAGGCTCTCTGCCACCATTGTCCAGGACTCTCTGCCACCATTGTCCAGGGCTCTCTGCCACCAATATCAATGTGAAAGACATCTGAGAGATACGATCACCTAAAACCCGCCCAAAAATACACACACATGATCAAAACAACTTGTGACAAATAAACTTGTGTGATGCTATATTGTTGTGGGTTGTGAAACACATTACCAGGCAACATGACCCACGAAGCTCTAGGTATTGTTCCAGCCGAGTAGTAACCCGACCCACACACATATGAGAAGATATGAAAGTAACAACGTTCCGGTTCGTCCGCTACTTGATAAGGGTCCACGACGGCCTGAAATGTCGTCACATAAGAGTCTACGACGAACCGAAACGTCACAAGGGTCCACGACGGCCTGAAATGTCGTCACATAAGGGTCCACCACGGACCGAAACGTCACAAGGGTCCACGACAGCCCGAAACGTCGTCACATAAGGGTCCACCACGGACCGAAACGTCGTCACATAAGGGTCCACCACGGACCGAAACGTCGTCACATAAGGGTCCACCACGGACCGAAACGTCGTCACATAAGGGTCCACCACGGACCGAAACGTCGTCACATAAGGGTCCACGACAGCCTGAAACGTCGTCACATAAGGGTCCACGACAGCCTGAAACGTCGTCACATATGGGTCCACAACAGGCCGAAACGTCGTCACATATGGGTCCACAACAGGCCGAAACGTCGTCACATAAGGGTCCACGACGGCCCGAAACGTCGTCACATATGGGTCCACAACAGGCCGAAACGTCGTCACATAACGCTCCACGACAGCCTGAAACGCCATCACTTCCATTTCACATGTGCGTGATAAGTTACACATTTCAGCCACATCATTGTGACTCTCCAAATATATTTATGGTTGTAATTCCATGGAATAAAAAGGGGAGTTGTATAACAGAGATCAAGACCATTTCTACAGCTGTGTTTATCCATGCGTTCTGAGAGCGAGGAGCTATCAGCGGCGTACCACGAGTCCCTCTCCCTTGAACCCGTTCTTGTGTGAGTGTTTGAGGACTCGAGTGTAAGTCAATAGTGGTGTCACGGGTTCAGGTTCAGGAGCAGCGAACAGGTTAAGGCTGAATACTGTTGACCAGCGCAAGGATGAGCTCCGAAGGTTGCAAATACAGGACCGGAAACTGCACATTGTATTCCTGTATCTTGCAGCGGCAGTGTACAAAATACAGCATTCAGATTTGCATAGGACACTGTATAATACAACGCAGGTATTGTTACATAACACTCTATAGCACAACGCAACACGTTACAGCCCTTATAGCACATCACAGCTCAGAAGCCCAAAAGAAAACACCACACAACAATACGTTACACCACAACACATCACATAACACCACACAACAATACGTTACACCACAACACATCACATAACACCACACAACACACCACAGTGCCTCACATCACAACATAAAAGCAACACAACTCACCACCAAATACAACCGACTATGTGAGACCGCGCTATGAAACACGCAGTAGAGAAGGGCCCAATGTCATCCGCAGACCTTCCAAAAGATCTTACACTCGGACTTAACAAACATTAATAATTCATTTACCCCCCACAACAAATCAACGCCAGCACCTGGACGATGAACACAAGCTATACATACCCATTGACCTTCCCATCGAGCATCGGGATCTCATTATCGAACACCAGACCCTATAATCAAACCCCCTTCTCCAATCTTTGTTTTTGCTGTCCGCCCGTCTCTTTCCCAAGCTGGCGTCTTCACTTGCTAAGGGTCCACGACGGCCTGAAACGTCGTCACTTTAGGGTCCACGACGGCCCGACGTCGTCACACAAGAGTCCAACGACGGCCCTTCCCATTCTAATTCCTTACGACCCGCTCATTTCCTCCTTCCTTACCCCTCCCTCTCTTCCGAAGGTCCACCCTCGTGAGGAGCATGACTGAAGGGGGCGGGAGTGAAAGGGGTCTTCAGGGGAGTCCAGCACTGGGGCGGAGGGGGGCCGTATATAAGGCGGTCAGGGCGGACGGGACTCAACATTCAATCCGACTCCCCAGCCATAAGAGGATGCTATCGGTAAGTCTGTAGGGTGTGGTAGCAGCGTCACCCCTACATAACGCGAGCTACTGCACTAAAGAGGCACTCCAGGCCATTCCAAGCACCTGAATTAACCCTGGCACTAACTAGGCAAGAGCCAGATAGGGTCATCGTTACAACATAATGATCGTTAACATGTATAGTGTGACACTAACCTGAAAATCCTCCAATTAGGTGGAAGGCATTGTGGTGAGTTCGTTCATATATCACTGGTAAGCTCGTTTTCTTTTGTGACTTTTTTGAGTGATTTTTGGCTAATTCAAGTGAATTGTTTATTTTACAGTGAGTATATTGCCTCTCTCTCTCTCTCTCTCTCTCTCTCTCTCTCTCTCTCTCTCTCTCTCTCTCTCTCTCTCTCTCTCTCTTCTCTCTCTCTTTCTCTCTAGCTTTCTTTCTTTTGGTAGAATTTTTAAATAATGATGAAGCAATTTTTTACGCCTCTTTATTAGCGAGGGTGTCCATTATGTGTATATGTGTGTGTGAGTGTGTGTGTGTGTGTGTGTGTGTGTGTGTGTGTGTGTGTGTGTGTGTGTGTGTGTGTGTGTGTGTGTGTGTGTGTGTGTGTGTGTGTGTGCGTGGCGTGTGTATGTGTCTTATGTTTAAGCTTCTTTATGAACTTATATTTTTGGGCGTAAGTTTGACCGTGTGTATGTTAATATTTGAGTATATTTGATCATCTGTATATCTGTGTGTCTAAGCATATGTATATACGTATGTTTAAAGGTATATATGTGTATATGCTTGAGTGTCTGTATATATGTGTCAGAATCCAGTATAATCATAATTAATATACATTGTATCATCATATTTTTGATATCTAAGATATCATATCTAAGAAAAAGACAGATAACGAATGATATGATACAGATAACGAACTTGATAAAGAGTTGATGGCTTACCTTTTAAGGCTCTTAACTAGATTCTTTTCAACACATCTGAAACTTATACGTAACTCGCTCATATGGAATTATTTCTCCTCCCGCAGGCGGTGATGTTGTGTGTGGCGGTGGCTGCGGCGTCCGCAGCCCCGCAGTACAGATATAACGTGACCCCAAGTCCCAGCTTCAGCGCCGGAGGAGGAGGACTTGGTGTTGGAGGTTTCGGCGAGACAGGAGGAGGCTTTCGAGGCTCCGGAGTAGGTGGAGCCTTTGGAGGTTCAGGTGTGCTTGCTAGCGGATTATCTCCCGGAGGATTCGGGATTAGAGATAGCGGTGGATTTGAAGGTTCTACAACGGGTATTACAGGTTCATCTGCTGGACGGTTCGGTAGTCGAGCATTTGGAGGCTCAGGATTATCTTCTGGAGGATTTGACACAAGAACGAGTGGGGCATTTGGAGGTTCAGCTGTTAGTAGTAGAGGATTATCTTTTGGAGGACAAGAGAGTGGAGTATACGGAGATTCAGCCACTAGAGGCTTATCCTCTGGAGGGTTCCTCACTGGCACAGGTGGAGCATTTGGCGGTTCCTCTACAGGTATTAGAGCAACATCTGCCAGAGGCTTGGGCAGTGGAACAACCGGGAGATTCGGAACTTCAGGCATCGGCGGGCAGTCTTCTATTGCAGGATTCGGAGTTTCTCCTGGTGTAGGGCTGAGGACTTCAGGCGGCATCGGTAGCGCCATCGCTGGAGGGCACAGCCAATCACGTCCTGTTGTGCCCATCCTGAGGGACGACCGCCAACAGCCTGATGTCACTGGGTCATACAGCTTCGCCTACGAGACTGCTGACGGCACCAGTCGTCACGAGCAAGGCATCCCCCAGGGCCCGACTGGCGCCGTGGCAACCCAAGGAGGATGGTCGTAAGTAGCTCTCCTTCGTCCTGAATGATATGAAACACAGATAAATGACCGACAATTGCTGGTTAATAACCTAATTTGCAATTTCATGCATTCCAGATTTACTTATCCTGATGGAACCCCTGCAACCTTCAACTTCATCGCTGATGAGGGAGGCTTCCGCGTGGAGTCCCCCCTGCTGCCCACGCCCCCGCCTCTTCCCGCCCACGCCATCGCCCAGATCGAGAAGGCTCGTCACGAGGACGCCGCCGCCGCTGCTGCTGGAGTTGGTCGAGGAGCGTTTGGAAATGACGGAAGCTTCGATGGTAGACAAGTTGGAAGCTTCGCTGGCTCACAAACAGGCTACAGTGGCTCGCGGGCTGTAGGAATTAGAGGATCATCAGCAGGAAGCCTGGGAAGCTTCGGAGGTGGATCAACTGGAAGATTCGGGAGCTCTTCCGGGGCTGGCTTTGGCACCTCTAGCTTTGGAGGCCAACCTGGAAGCTTTGGAGGCCAACCTGGAAGCTTTGGAGGCCAAACTGGAAGCTTTGGAGGCCAAACTGGAAGCTTTGGAGGCCAAACTGGAAGCTTTGGAGGCCAAACTGGATTAGGTCTTGGAGGTACTGGTGCAGCCTCCTCTCTTCGTGCTTTCCCGCAGATCCCCAGCCAGTCCTATGGTACGCCCTAAGCCCCATCCCCTCCCCCCATCACCCTGCAAGACCCACAGCACGACCTTCACACAATCAACAGGTGTTGTAATTACTACTTAATATTGAAAATGTCCTAGTCTGCCCTCCTGTCATGTCAGTCTCATTTTCTATGGACGGGTCATTTTTATGACATGTCAATACAGTACGCTTATTAATTTTACTAATACATCAATTATCAAAATAAAACCATTTTAATACAGTAACCCCTCATGCAGTTTTATGTTATCCTTTACCATAAACAAAAAAACAACAATTTGCAGCCAAAATCCAAGTTAATATTGCAAAGAATTTTGGAAAGTTACAGATGAATCTAATGTGTGTTTGGTATACTCTAAGGGGTCAAACCAAGCGGCTTTCGTAACATCAAATTGAAAGTCAAAACATTCGCCTGATCAATATCTCCGCGGTCACTATAGCATTGGTATGATGCACTCGAGCAGCGGGGCATATATCAGCCATGACCCGCGATGCCAGGGGACTATATGGGCGGTATATTCAGCTCGAGATGTTTTCATTTCTCCAAGCTAGGGGCCAGATTCACAAAGCACTTACGCAAGCACTTACGAACGTGTACATCTTTCCTGAATCTTTGACGGCTTTGTTTACATTTATTAAACAGTTTATAAGCATGAAAACTTGCCAATCAACTGTTGTTATTGTTATAAAGAGCCTCCTGGTTCTTCGGAGCTCATTAACTGTTTAATAATTGTAAACAAAGCCTCAGAAGATCGATAAAAGATGTACAGGTTCGTAAGTGCTTGCGTAACTGCTTCGTGAATCTGGCTCCAGGTCTGGAGTCAGGCTTTTCTGGCTTGTGCTTGAGCATTAAGGGTATTCGGGCTTGATGCCCGCAGGCCCACACCACCACGACAACCCCGGGTGATCCGGTACTACTGGGAGGAGGACCTTGGTAAGTTCCCCTCTAGCAAGCTTCGACCTTTCTTTTCTCCAGCGAGATTTCTTATATATGTTGGCTGGGGGATGCGGAAGAAGTGCGTAGAAGGCGTCGTAGTGGTAGTTGTGAGGTAGAAGGCGTCGTAGTGGTGGTTGTGAGGTAGAAGGCGTCGTAGTGGTGGTTGTGTAAAAGTTGTCGTCTAGTGGTGATGTAGAAGGCGTCGTAGTGGTGATGTAGAAGGCGTCATCTTATAATGACGAGGTATAACAGATTTATAATGAAACCTACTAAAAAAAATAGTTTTTTAGCAAAAGCAACAAAAAACACTTTGCAAAACAGGCGGGTCTTAGACGCAGCGAAAAAACAGCGAATAACATCCTCCTGTTGTGCAAATATTATGATATCCAAATATATCCACTAAAATGATATCATGAGATCCATATTAGCAGAGCAGCAACAACAGCATGGATTCGCAGCTCCTGCGTGACTGAGTCAACACGTCACAACAAAAAGCATAAAGGCTACCAGCAGCTCTCAGTGGAAGAGTTAACGTGACTCTTCTGAATGTAACAGGATCAGATACTTTTAACAACTTGGAAAACTCGTAACGCTGTTGCTGGCTTGACTGACCAGATGTACAGCTGTGTAAATCAAACTTACTTTGAGACACGACCTGTAAACCATGTAACTTACAATTTGAGTGGTAAAATATATATACTGGTGAAACACCATATATTGGTGGTATGCTGTTATCACTACTGAAGGCCTAGTAGTGACAACAGTAGCAAGAACAGTAGTGGGCATAGCAATGACAACAGTACTTGAATTAACAACAGGCGCAGTAACAGTGCAAGACAGCCTCATATTATAATCCAGCTGAACTAGAGCCATCTGGTTTGTTCACTGACCAATGGGTAGCTGGTGTGTGTGTGGGCTGGCGCACCCATGCCTCGGCCACACACACACCCACACACATGCCAGCCAGGCTCATTGGTGTTCTGCCTCGTAGCCATCTGGCGGATAGCAACTGTTCTCTCAAAGCCTTGGATATCTCTTCCTCTCTCTCTCTCACACACACATGTGCCTCATGAAAGGGATGAAGAGGCGGTAGGTTGGAATAACACAAGAGAAGCAATAGGGGCAATGAGAGAGTTTATATCAGGAATACCGCGCGATGAAGGACTCAAAGAGACATATATATATATATATATATATATATATATATATATATATATATATATATATATATATATATATATATATATATATATATATATATATATATATATATATATATATATATATATATATATATATGAGTGTATATCACGAAATAAACACGTGATTAAGAATGTGACAATGTCAGACCACGAAGGAAAAATGAAACAGGAAATTTCCTTAAGTACTTTCGTATATTAAATACATCGACCTTCTGAAGATGTATTTAATATACGAAAGTACTTAAGGAAATTTCCTGTTTCATTTTTCCTTCGTGGTCTGACATTGTCATATATATATATATATATATATATATATATATATATATATATATATATATATATATATATATATATATATATATATATATATATATATATATATAGTAGTATGTTTTGATAGCAGTCTTTCTTGTAAACATGTGTTGTTGAATACGACCGAAAGGGTAAGATTAATGATTCTAACACCAATCTTCTCAATATTTCTTATGTCTTTCTTCACTGTACAGGGAAGTTGAAAAATGAACTCTCCGAAGTTCAGCTCGAACGACCATAGCCTGAGGGTGGTGGGGAATTATGCGAGGAAGTTATTATTGTCATTTATACATTAGAGTGAACTGTATCAATAGTTACCTTGAGGTGCTTCCGGGGCTTAGTGTCCCCGCGGCCCGGTCGTCGACCAGGCCTCCTGGTTGCTGGACTGATCAACCAGGCTGTTAGACGCGGCTGCTCGCAGCCTGACGTATGAGTCACAGCCTGGTTGATCAGGTATCCTTTGGAGGTGCTTATCCAGTTCTAGTTGTATTTAGTTCCTTCACAACCTCCCACTGGTTAGTGAAATCTTATTATTAATTGCATTTAGAACATCTAAAGCATTTTTGAACATAGTCTCGGTTTAATCTAGGTACTGTATAGTTAAAATTGTTTACCATGTGAATATAATCAGTGGATCATCTAAATAATTTTGTAATTTATAATTCAGGAGCTGAGCTGGTTAGGGGCGTAAGCAGGTCTGGACATGTGGGTGACAATGTAGCCAATCAGCGCACAGCATGTGGGTGACAATGTAGCCAATCAGCGCACAGCATGTGGGTGACAATGTAGCCAATCAGCGCACAGCATGTGGGTGACAATGTGGCCAATCAACGCCCAGCATGTGGGTCACAATGTAGCCAATCAACACCCAACATGTGGGTGACAATGTAGCCAATCAGCGCTCAGCATGTGGGGTGACAATGTAGCCAATCAGCGCTCAGCATGTGGGTGACAATGTAGCCAATCAGCGCCCAGCATGTGGGGCCTGGCTGGATCCATACTTCCTGCCGGCAACTTCCCCGCTAGATTTAAAATAAATTTATATTACCCCAAAATTATCATGAATTATTCGAGAATTAATGATTATTGTCCTTGCGTGAGATGATGGAGTAGTTTCCATTATAACCACACTCTGCCACCCTTGTCTTCCCTCCCCCCTATACTCAAACACTATGGGCCCCATCAACATAGAGTAATAGATCCTCCATTTAAAAACTTTAACTCAAATATCACAGTAACAAGGTTATCGCGAATAACCGAACTCCATCACGGGCTCACTATAGCCCGTGCTACGTGGACAGTTCGTTCCGAGTAGCTGAATCTAAAACAGCAAGCGGCAACAGAGAGTAATAAGTATGGAACGGGTGAGCCTTGGCTGTTGCTGAAGGGCGAGGCGGACACAGCCAGATGTCTTGGGTCGTGGTGATTAGAGCAGCAGCAGTAGCAGCAGTACCAGCAGTACCAGCAGCAGAAGCAGCAGCAGCAGCAGCAGCAACAGAAGCAGCAGCAGTACCAGCAGCAGCAACAGCAAAAGTAGCAGCAGCAGCAGGGGAGCAGGAACCCTCTCCAGGCGCAGTAACAGTGCAAGACAGCCTCATACTATCCATACCCCTATGAATACTATCCTATGACATACTATCCATACCCCTATGACATACTATCCATACCCCTATGACATACTATCCATACCCCTATGACATACTATCCATACCCCTATGACATACTATCCATACCCCTATGACATACTATCCATACCCCTATGACATACTATCCATACCCCTATGACATACTATCCATACCCCTATGACATACTATCCATACCCCTATGACATACTATCCATACCCCTATGACATACTATCCATACCCCTATGACATACTATCCATACCCCTATGACATACTATCCATACCCCTATGACATACTATCCATACCCCTATGACATACTATCCATACCCCTATGACATACTATCCATACCCCTATGACATACTATCCATACCCCTATGACATACTATCCATACCCCTATGACATACTATCCATACCCCTATGACATACTATCCATACCCCTATGACATACTATCCATACCCCCTATGAATACTATCCATACTCATACTATACATACCCCAGACTTCACCTCGACAAGGTGGGTCGCCATTCAGGTGCCCAGCAGCAGGGGAGGTGGACGCCACAAGAGCCTTCCTCTTCCACCTCCAACTCCCGACAACTCTGATGTATTATATAATCACTGAGAGTTTAAGGCTCTGTTTATAAACTGGAATTAACAATGTTAATTTCCTTTAGTTCCTTGACGTGTTTGTCAGTTTGTTATAATTATATCATTTATAACACGTGATAGGAAACAACTTTAGCTTCCTAACTGTTGACTGACGCAAAGTCAAGCTGACGCCGCCTCACCAGAGGGCTGTGGCATCGCTCCATCACTACGCACTTATGAATTGCGTATTAGTTGGTTAATTTAGCTTAAATTAACTCTCGTGGCGAATTAATTGAATATTTTATGATTAAAGGTAGTAACTGTATCCCACTGGTGGGTTGGTGGGATGAACTGCAGCTTGGACGAGCAGAGCCCGAGGGAGTGGGATGTGTATCAAGTCAGTGTAATTCATTCGTAAACAGGATCAATGATGATTGGGGTAGGTGGCTTAACTAAGAGGCATTTGGCTAATGTTGACGCGGAGGGGCTGGCGGATAGGGTGCGTAATTGACTCGTCGTCGGAAGACGCTGGGTTCGATCCCTCTGTAACTTTTAATACTATAGTTACCGCTCCACAACAACGGCAACGCCTTCACAACTTGTAATACATCGGGGCCATACATACAAACACCCATACGTGCATGTCTGCGGCAGACAGTCGGCAGACCAATACAGCAGACACGGTCTCATCTGCCGTAAGAGGGAAAGACATGAAGACATGAAAGATATGACTGCCGGACATGAAGGAGTCAATGACATCATCAAGAAAAGTTTGGCTACAGCAGGGTGTCCAGCATAAAGGGAACCTCAGTTGTGCAGACCTGACAACAGCCAAAAACGCCCAGATGGAGTCACCCTGCAGCCATGGAGGGAAGGTAAACAGGTCGTGTGGGACTACACGTGTGCGCCTACATTGGCTGATACCTATCTACCTTACAGTACAGCTGAGAGAGGCAGGGCGGTTACCTGCATGGAGGCCCAGAAAACCATTAAAGCCAGGAACCTGTTACAAAATTACAGGTTCGTGCCAATAGGCTCTGAGACCCTTGTCGCCTGGAGTAAACATGCACTTAAGTTCCTGAAGGACGTGGGAGAGGAAATCTCCAGCAGCATCAGCTAGTTTCCTGTCCCAGCGCCGTGATCCAGGTGGGAAATTACCTGGAAAATACCTCCTGTATCGTGCACCCTCACCCAAACTCTTCAAACCTGGATGAGGTTTTTAATAGTGATTGCCATGTATGTACCACTATTGTATTCTGTAACACAATGAAATCAATTTCACACATAAATAAGCGTGGAACAAGTAAATACTGAACAAATGTGCAGGAAGAATCTGTTAGGTCTCCTTCGAATGCCTTTTATTCTCTTCTACGAGGCAAAAGATCCCCATAATTAACAGATACAACAATAAATTACTAGACATTGACGAAGCACAACATATTAAACAATCTCAACCAACTTGTTGAGATTGTTCTCTAGGGGGATTAGTGTAGAGAATTATAAAAGCCCTGTTTTCATATATTAATGTCCTGTTGGGAATTATTCGTAAGGAGCAGTGGTGTGTGTGTGTTGTGTGTGTGTGTGTGTGTGTGTGTGTGTGTGTGTGTGTTGTGTGTGTGTGTGTGTGTGTGTGTGTGTGTGTGTGTGTGTGTGTGTGTGTGTGTGTGTGTGTGTGTGTGTGTGTGTGTGTGTGTGTGTGTGTGTGTGTGTGTGTGTGTGTGTGTGTGTGTGTGTGTGTGTGTGTGTTGTGTGTGTGTGTGTGTGTGTGTGTGTGTGTGTGTGTATATACTCACCTATTTGTACTCACCTATTTGTGCTTGCGAGGGTTGAGCTTTGGCTCTTTGGTCCTGCCTCTCAACTGTAAACTGTGTGTGTGTGTGTGTGTGTGTGTGTGTGTGTGTGTGTGTGTGTGTGTGTGTGTGTATATACTCACCTATTTGTACTCACCTATTTGTGCTTGCGAGGGTTGAGCTTTGGCTCTTTGGTCCTGCCTCTCAACTGTAAACTGTGTGTGTGTGTGTGTGTGTGTGTGTGTGTGTGTGTGTGTGTGTGTGTGTGTGTAAGCCGAACTATGTTTTCTGTTGATTGTTAAGGCAGATAAAGCAGGTCGTTCTTGAGATGAGAAACTTGGTCATTAAAACACACGAACAAATGCAGCATACACACACACACACATAACAGACATACGCTCCCACAGGTCGTCACAAATACGCAGAGAACGCGTTACATGACACGCAAGTCTGCTAGCTTCGTTAAACACCATTAGATCTGGCTAGTAACTGAATGGATAAAACACACACATATATATAGTAGTCTCCCTAGTAGCGAGGATAACCACGGTCCAAACATATCTTCCTGGTCCCCAGCAACGGTATCCTAGTAACCAAAACAGGCGTTTTAACATTGTGCTCTGAGGCAACTGGCAACCATACTTCAACAATTACTGTCAGCCCGCTACAGGAACCCCTGAATACATATCCTGCCAAAAGCGTATCCTTTTATCCTCATTATAGCTGAGATTATACGTTGGGAAAACCCCGGTATCTCAATTCTACATTTAAGTTACGTTCATTGGATTTGTTGATTATTAATATGGCCTTATATAATTCAGGTCCGAGAGCCAGTATGCAGACTTCCGATTCATCAAAGTAAGCAGACCAGGAGATTCATCGAAATGATGACACAGACCAATATCCTGATCGGGTTTCAGCGTGGCCTTCACCTTGCTGGCGGTTGTGGCCCTAGGCACGTATATAAGTGTCGACAAGGGGGTTGAAAGTGGTAATCGCACCGACTTGTCTATAGCGTCAACATGATCCTGGTAAGATCCAGCTTTAGTGCCGTTGTTGTACACGTGAAAGAAATATAGTGTTTTGATAATCAATATAAACACCATTCCGTGCTTAAAAGAACTAGTATTTTATCAACGAAAACCCTTAGTTGAGTACTAAGGTCCGAAATCAGCTAAAGGTTAGTGACATGGGTTTTCAGTGGATGTATATAAATGTGTATAATTTTATGTCTTCTGCAGAAGTTGGTATTGTTCACCTTGGCGGCTGTTGTGGGGGCTGACAAGCTCCCGTCTACCTCTTACGGGGCGCCCAGCAGAGGAAGTGGAGGTTTCCTGGGAGCGGGTGGAGGACGCTTTGGGGCTTCTGGAGTGACAGGAGGCGTCGGTTACCCTGGAGTGGGCGGAGGCTTCAGTTCCCTTGGAGTGGGAGGAGGCTTCGGTTCCCCTGGAGTGGGCGGAGGCTTCAGTTCCCTTGGATTGGGAGGAGGCTTCGGCTCCCCTGGAGTGGGAGGAGGCTTCGGTTTCCCTGGAGTGGGAGCAGGCTTCGGCACATCTGGAGCAGGATTTGGAGGATCAACTGGTGGTTTTAGAGGATCACCTGGAGGCTTCGGAATACCGAGTGGTGGAGCCTTCGGGGGCCCAGCCGGTGGTGGCTTCGGGGGAGCTGCAAGTGGAAGCTCTTTTGGCGGAAGTTACAGACCATCAGGTCCTGTTGTGCCCATCCTGAGGGACGAGCGTCAGGGACCTGATGCGTACGGCAACTACAACTTCAACTTCGAGACTGGTGACGGCATCAGTCGTCAGGAGCAGGGCGCCCCTCAGGGCCCAGCTGGCGCCGTGGCATCCCAGGGAGGATGGTCGTGAGTAATCTATGCTAATCTCTTGCGTGTTTCTTTAATACTTAAAACAATACTGCAACTTCATTTTATGAGGCATTTAGATATGGAACTTCATTGATAAAGGATGCTAATTGCAATATTTGGCGTTGCAGATTTAATTTCCCTGATGGAACTCCAGCTAACTTCAAGTTCGTCGCGGATGAAGGCGGTTACCGCGTGGAGTCTGACCTGCTGCCCACGCCCCCGCCTCTCCCCGCCCACGCCATCGCCCAGATCGAGAAGGCTCGTCAGGAAGACGCCGCCGCTGCTGCTGGAGGTGGTCGAGGATCGTATGCAGTTGCGTCGAGCTCCTCGTCTCAGTTCTCAGGAGCACCTTCTGGAGGCTTTGGAGGAGCACCTTCTGGAGGCTTTGGTGGAGCACCTTATGGAGGCTTTGGAGGAGCACCTGTAGCAAGCTTCAGAGGCGCATCAACTGGGGACTTCAGAGGCGTATCTACTGGAGGCTTCGCTGGCTTCAGAGATGGGGACTATGGACGTTCACCAGTTGGAGGCTTTGGTGGGTCCACTTTAGGCCATACTCGAGGCTTCGAAGGGTCCACTGTAGGTCATACTCAAGGCTTCAGAGGGTCCACTGTTGGTCATACTGGAGGCTTCAGAGAGCCCATTGGAGGTCATACTCGAGAGTTCGAAGGGTCCACTGTAGGTCATATTGGAGGCTTCGGAGGGTCCACTTTAAGTCATACTCGAGGCTTCGGAGAGCCCATTGTAGGTCATACTAGAGGCTTCGGAGGGTCCACTGTAGGTCATACTCAAGGCTTCGGAGGGTCCACTTTAAGTCATACTCAAGGCTTCAGAGAGCCTACTGTAGGTCATACTCGAGAGTTCGGAGGGTCCACTGTAGGTCATATTGGTGGCTTAGGAGGGTCCACTTTAAGTCATACTCAAGGCTTCGGAGGGTCCACTTTAAGTCATACTCGAGGCCTCGGAGAGCCCATTGTAGGTCATACTAGAGGCTTCGGAGGGTCCACTTTAAGTCATACTCAAGGCTTCAGAGAGCCCACTGTAAGTCATACTCGAGAGTTCGGAGGGTCCACTTTAAGTCGTACTCAAGGCTTCAAAGAGCCCACTGTAGGTCATACTCGAGAGTTCGGAAGTTCCACTATAGGTCATACTAGTGGCTTCGGAGGGTCCACTGTAGGTCCTACTCGAGATTTTGGAGGGTCCACTGTGGGTCATGCTGGAGGCCAAGGAGGGTCCACCGTAGGTCATACTAGAGGCTTTGGAGGACAAACTTTAGGTCATACTGGAGGTCTAGAAGTGTCCACTGTAGGTTATACTGGAGATCTTAGAAGGTCCACTGTAGGCCATACTGGACGCCTTGGAGGGTCCACTGTAGGTCATACTCGAGGCTTCGGAGAGTCCACTATAGGTTATACTGGAGGTCTTGAAGGGTCCACTGTAGGTTATACTGGAGGCCTTGAAGGGTCCACTGTAGCTTATACTGGAGGTCTTAGAAGGTCCACTGGAGGCCTTGGAGGGTCCACTGTAGGTTACACAGGAGGCCTTGAAGTGACCACTGTAGGTTACAGTGGAGGCGTCAAAGAGCCCACTGCCAGTCATACTGGAGGGCTCGGAGAGCCGACTGGAGGCTTTGGAGACTTAACCATTGGAGGTTTAGCAGTATCAGCCGATGGAGACTTGGGTGCCGCGCCTCCAGCTCTCAAAAGGACCTATAGTGCCCCTTGAACATCGTCTCTACTCTAGCGCTGGATGCATGTATCTCATCTCATGTTCTCTCCAAGAAATCTTTTTTCTTCCTCGAGATCACTTGCTGATTGATATCTTGCTGGGCCGCTCTAGCCTCAAGTATGTCATGTCAACTGTGTCTCATGTCAGTTGATAGTTAGTGGTTTCTGTCTGAAATGAGCTGAACTTTACACTTATTCTACCGATATAAACATACATATATATATATATATATATATATATATATATATATATATATATATATATATATATATATATATAATACAAAATTTCAACGAAAAAGTGTTTTCTTAGTTTTACAAATAAAATACTAATAACAAACTTGAGAAAGAAGACTCTTTATGTCCTAATGAAAAACTAAAATAAGATTAAGGCTACAGTATTAATTATTGGTTTTAGAAAACTTATTAGTGATGCATTGAACATTCTTAATATTGCAGGACAAACAATATGATTATCAGGTTCTGTCTTAACTATAAGAAATATATATAAGAAAACATGGAATTTCCACCTGTACTGAGGTAACTTGTAAGAGGCATCAGTGTCTTCCATTACATTAACATTCAATCTCGATTTACATATATTGTCCATAAAAATGTTAATTCAAGTTTGATAAAATTGTGAAATATAATTATCGTTGGATAAAATCTGTTGCATATATTTTTAACCTATGCATTTTCTTTGTATTTGCGTAAAAACTATAAAATTTTAAATTTTAACACAAATGATTTTTTTTTTGTACAAGTTCACTTTAGTCTCCGAGTGATGGATGTATTGACTCTGACATGACACTGTACACTTGAGAGACACTCACATCTTCCACTATACACTTGAGAGACACAGCTTCCCTGTACATTTCAGACACACTCACAGCTTCCTCTGAGTGAAGGTGTTGCTGTTCTCTTAATGTGTTTAGTCGAGACAATCAATGAGTAGAGGCAAGCTGTTTGTTGAGTAACATACAACTAATTATTGGTTGAGTTTGGGGGGTTGGGATTAAGGCTTATCAACTGCGCGATGAATGTATAAGATCATAAATTTTTCTATTAAGGTCTTGGAACTTTCTTGTTGGCCAACCAGTCCTATACTTTAGGCCTGTCAACCTCTGGAGGGTTATTAAGGTCTGTCAACCTCTGGAGAGTTATTAAGGTCTGTCAACCTCTGGAGAGTTATTAAGGTCTGTCAACCTCTGGAGAGTTATTAACGTCTGTCAACCTCTGGAGGGTTATTAAGGTCTGTCAACCTCAGGAGGGTTATTAAGGCCTAACAACCTCTGGAGGCTTATTAAGCCCACCCCAATAACTTACTGACCAACCCACAAGTATACTTTAGTCTTGAACATAGTCCAGGACTAAAGTATACCCCCTGTGTATATATACACCGAGATAGGGATACCTCTCAATGTCTAATACCGAGGGGAGGCGGAAGAGGGGAAAATATAAATATTATTATTATTAAAAAAAGTAATGAAGGTAAATATTATTAATTAATATATTTTAAAATAATTTCTTACGCCTACAACCTCCTTCTCTTGGGACAAAACTGTAATAACGCAAATAGTTACGAATTCAGCTTCAGATTCAGGAACCAATTGTTGACTGAACGAGGCAGAAACAAATGGGCAGAGTTTCTTTCACTTGATGGTCCTAAGGAAACAAAGAAACATTAGACAGTTCTGTTTTGCAGAGTGGTAGACGGTCGGAACAAGGTCAAGTGAGAAAGTGGTGGTGGCCAAAACCAGCAGTAGTTTCAAAGTGTTATAAAACAAAGAGTCCTCTGAAGACGGGGACACCACTAGTGTAGATCTCATCCTGTAACTGCACTTAGGAAGCAGAACACATACACACACATACCAGAAAGATCTAGGAGTTGATATCACACCAAACCTGTTTCCTGAAGCCCACATCAAAAGAATAACGTCGGCGGCGTATGCGAGGCTGACTAACATCAGGACTACCTTCAGGAACCTGTGTAAGGAATCCTTCAGAACCTTGTATATCACATATGTAAGACCAATCCTGGGGTATGCGGCCACGGCATGGAGCCCGTACCTTATCAAGCACAAGATGAAGTTAATAAAGTTTAAAGGTATGCCGCTAGGCTAGTCCCAGAACTAAGAGACATGAGTTATGAGGAAAGGCTGCGGGAAATGCACCTTACGTTATTGGAAGACCGGAGAGCTCGCGAAGACATGATTACTACCTAAACAATTCTCAGGGGAATTGATAGGGCAGATAAAGGTAAATTTTTAACACGGGTGGTACGCGAACAAGGGGACACAGGTGGAAAGTGAGTAACCAAATGAGCCACAGGGACGTTAGAAAGAACTTTTTCAGTGTCAGAGTAGTTAACAAATGGAATGCACTAGCAAGTGATGTGGTGGAGGCTGACTCCATACACAGTTTCAAATGAAGATATGACTGAGCCCAGTAGGCTCAGGAATCTGTACACCAGTTGATTGACAGTTGAGAGGCGGGACCAAAGAGCCAGAGCTCAACCCCCGCATGCCTAATTAGGTGAATACATACCAGCCCCTGTTGACAGGGACTTTGAGGCCCATGTCCACTCAGGGGCCTCGCGCCTGAGTGGACAGCGCTCGGGGGTCGAAGTCTTAAGGGACCCTTAAGACTCGATTCCCGGTCAGGGCAGAGTTTCTTTCACCCTGATGCCCATATTCACCTAGCAGTGAATAGGTAACTGGGAGTTAGACAGCTGCTACGGGCTGCTTCAAGGCAATGTGTGTGTGTGTGTATTCACATAGTTGTGCTTGCGGGGGTTGAGCTCTGCTCTTTCGGCCCGCCTCTCAACTGTGACTAACTACTAAGTAACTAAAAAATTGTTTACACTCACACACACACATACCCGCAGGAAGCAGCCCGTAACAGCTGTCTGACTCCCAGGTACCTATTTACTGCTAGGTAACAGGGGCATCAGGGTGAAAGAAGATCAGACCATTTGTCTCTGCCGACGCTGGTATGTGTGTGTGTGTGTGTGTGTGTGTGTGTGTGTGTGTGTGTGTGTGTGTATGTGTGTGTGTGTGTGTGTGTGTGTGTGTGTGTGTGTGTGTGTGTGTGTGTGTGTGTGTGTGTGTGTGTGTGTGTGTGTGTGTGTGTGTGTGTGTGTGTGTGTGTGTGTGTGTGTGTGTGTGTGTGTGTGTGTGTGTGTGTGTGTGTGTGTGTGTGTGTGTGTGTGTGTGTGTGTGTGTGTGTGTGTGTGTGTGTGTGTGTGTGTGTGTGTGTGTGTGTGTGTGTGTGTGTGTGTGTGTATGTGTGTTTGTGTGTGTGTGTGTGTGTGTGTGTGTGTGTGTGTGTGTGTGTGTGTGTGTGTGTGTGTGTGTGTGTGTTTTAGAGAAATATATGTAGTAGGTTGAATGGAGGAAAAAATAGATCGGCTAGAAAGTCGAGGACCAAAGGTTAATACTTCGATTCTACAGACAAAAATAGTAAATACATACACGTATGCGCAAATAAACATTGCCCTACACACACATATAAATATACAGACACTATAGACACGGAGCCCAGGTCGACGACCGGGCCGCGGGGACGCTAAGCCCCGGAAGCACCTCAAGGTATATCAACACCAATAGGTTTTCTAACTGATGTCAGAAAATAAACCGATATCTGAATTAAATTGTTTATTTTGCAGTAACATTTATTGGAAATGCTAGAAATTATGCAGCAATAGACTTCAAGTTCGATCGCCATGCAAAAACTGTCATCCAGGCGACTCATCGAAGTAATTACACAATGTAATAACCTGATCCGTTGTCTGCGTGGCCTTCACCTTCCTTGCGGTGATGGGTCTGGCCGGGTATATAAGCGTCGACCCGCGGCTCAAACCACACTCGCACCGACTTGTCTGTAGCGTCAACATGATCCTGGTAAGATCCAACTTTTTGTGCCGCTGCTTTGTATTCTCATAACGTATACACACGATAGATATGATTTATAAGTAGTGCTTGTACGTCACCTTCGATAAATCTAAGTAACACTTCGCGCTTTAAAACAATGTTATTTAATAAACGAACATTATTAGCCGACATCTAAGGCCAAAAAATATTTCAAAGTTAGTAATTATAAGTTTCGAGGGGAAAAACGTATAATTTTATATCTTCTGCAGAAGTTGGTATTATTCACTTTGGCGGCTGTTGTGGGGGCTGACAAGCTCCCGTCTACCTCTTACGGGGCGCCCAGCAGAGGAAGTGGAGGTTTCCCAGGTGCGGGTGGAGGACGCTTTGGGGCTTCTGGAGTGAGAGGAGGCTTCGGTTCCCCTGGAGTGAGAGGAGGCTTCGGTTCCTCTGGAGTAGGCGGAGGCTTCGGCACATCTGGAGCAGGATTCGGAGGAAGACCAGTTGGTGGTTTTGGAGGATCACCTGGAGGCTTCCAAAGACCGAGTAGTGGAGCCTTCGGGGGCCCAGTCGGTGGTGGCTTCGGGGGAGCTGCAAGTGGAAGCTCTTTTGCCGGAAGTTACAGACCATCAGGACCTGTTGTGCCCATCCTGAGGGACGAACGTCAGGGACCTGATGCGTACGGCAACTACAACTTCAACTTCGAGACTGGTGACGGCATCAGTCGTCAGGAGCAGGGCGCCCCTCAGGGCCCGACTGGCGCCGTGGCATCTCAGGGAGGATGGTCGTGAGTAATCTATGTTAAACTCTTGTGTGTTTCTCTAATACTGAAACATTTTTGTATCTTCATTGTATGAAATTTTTAGATGTGGATTTTCATTTATAAGGGAAGCTAATTGTAATATTTGGCGTTGCAGATTTACCTTCCCCGATGGAACTCCAGCTAACTTCAAGTTCGTCGCGGATGAAGGCGGTTACCGCGTGGAGTCTCCCCTGCTGCCCACGCCCCCGCCTCTCCCCGCCCACGCCATCGCCCAGATCGAGAAGGCTCGTCAGGAAGACGCCGCCGCTGCTGCTGGAGGTGGTCGAGGATCGTATGGAGCTGCATCGGGCTCCTCGTCCCAGTTCTCTGGAGTGTCTGGTGGAGGCTTTGGAGGAGCACCTTCTGGAGGTTTTGGAGGAGCACCTTCTGGAGGCTTTGGAGGAGCACCTTCTGGAGGTTTTGGAGGAGCACCTTCTGGAGGCTTCGGAGGCGCATCAATTAGAAGTTTTGGAGGGGCAGGAGCTGGAAGCTTCGGAACCACACATGCTAGAGGATTTGGTGGAGCAGGAGCTGGACGCTTCGGAGCTGCTCCACTGGCTCCCAGGAGGACCTACGGCGCCCCTTGAACATAATCTCACGTTTGTAGCTCGAGACTTATGTCATGATTTTCGCAAGAAACAATTTTTCTATCTTGAAAAATCTTGCTGGGTCCCTGTGTCTCAAGTCTGTCACATAAACGGTGTCTCATGTAAGCTGATGATCAAAGTCTGTCTGAAATGAGCTAAATTGTACGCTTATTCTATTGATACACATATACATATATATTATAAAAATAAAACAATTTGATGAAAAAGTTTTTTCTGTAATTTTTTTTTCGTGAAGTGACAATAACACAGATTCCTGTTGAACACAGGAAACTTTACTACTGGATAATATCTAAAGCAGAAGTAAGTCTTTTGCAATAATGATTCCTGTTAAATCAGAGGTTCATTAAACATTGTAGTAAACATTACATAAAGTGGAATATAAGTCTCAAGTTAAAAAAAAAATATTATATAAACTTCATGCAGACGTGGAGTCACAATAACGTGGCTGAAATATGTTGATCAAACCACACACTAGAAAGTGAAGGGACGACGACGTTTCGATCCGTCCTGGACCAATCTCAAGTCGATTGTGTGATTAAGCCATAATCGACCTGAGGAATGGTCCAGGACGGACCAAAACGTCGTCGTCCCTTCACTTTCTAGTGTGTGGTCTGGTCAACATAAACATCATTTACAAGAAAGCGTGACGACAGCTTCACCCAGACTGACTTGTAAATGGCAGCTGCTTCTTGTATGGTCGGTATTCTAATTAACTTTTTTTCTAAGTCACTCCCAGTTACTTGTAACTGAATAAAAAAGTACTTTTTTGCATGTAAATTTTCATCTTGGTCTAATAGGGAGAGAGACAGCTCTAGCAGCTCATAAAGGGAATATAAATTGGGTTAAGACTTAATATGGAACGGATTAAGCCTTTCACCATTAATACAAGTTTGATAACTATAATATAGTGTAACGTAATGCGTATAATACTCGCTGAATTATGACTTAACCCAACCTTCACCTCACTTAAAGTCTTCCTTAACAATCAGCTGTTCTCTTGTGTCCTTCAGACTTGATGAAGCTGTAGAGAAGAGTGACAATAACGAGGCTGAAGCACATAACTCGGCCTACATATACACCACATATAGGAGGCATCCAGCAGTCTCGGGAGACTATGGAGTTGCGCTCTGGTTGTCGAGGCTGGAGTGTCCTCTCCAGGGCGCAAAGCCAGGGGTTGGTCGATATGGAGGAGAAGCTGTTACCCATGCAGCAGGTCCCACATATACACCTACAACTAAGTGAGTATATATATGCAAGGAAGGTGACAACATTTCGGCTCGTTCTGAACCCTTATCAAACCCTAGACCCTTATCAAGTCCTGGGTTCTAATCATGTCCTGGATCCTTATTAAATCATGGACCCTTATTAAGTCAAATTCCTAAAACATCATAAAGAAATTATCTGCTAGATGTTTCTTGACATTATATTCCTGATATTGTGTTGAAATAAATCAGCTTTTCATCTTAATTTACAAATATTGAACAAAACATCTCGTTAACCCATATATGATAAAATTATTAAAAAATTGGTTATTATTGGATAAAATCATTTCCGTATATTGGAACATGAATGTTAATCCAGACACGCATTTTTTGAACCCTTGTAATCACACTGAGCCTATATATGTATTGCCACATAAATCAATATATTTTGCACATTTACCACAGAGGCCTTTGTCTTTTTTTTTAAATTATTATTTCTATGTTGAGCTAATTAACACCTCAGCTCTAAGGATACAAGATTATGTGAAAGTAGTTATATATAAGAAAAAAATATATATAACTATATATATAACTATATATATATATATATATATATATATATATATATATATATATATATATATATATATATATATATATATATATATATATATATATGTCGTACCTAGTAGCCAGCTTACTATGCAAGTCCCGATTTGCCTAATAAGCAAAGTTTTCATGAATTAATTGTTTTTCGACTACTTAACCTACCTAACCTAACCTAACCTAACTTTTTCGGCTACCTAACCTAACCTAACCTATAAAGATAGGTTAGGTTAGGTTAGGTAGGGTTGGTTAGGTTCGGTCATATATCTACGTTAATTTTAACTCCAATAAAAATTTTTTTACCTCATACATAATGAAATGGGTAGCTTTATCATTTCATAAGAAAAAAAATAGAGAAAATATATTAATTCAGGAAAACTTGGCTTATTAGGCAAATCGGGCCTTGCATAGTAGGCCGAGAAGTGCGTTCTGGCTACTAGGTACGACATATATATATATATATATATATATATATATATATATATATATATATATATATATATATATATATATATATATATATATATATATATATATGTGTCGCTGGAAGAAAGAAGAGTTAGGGGGGGACATGATCACCACATACAAGACTCTCAAAGGATTTGATAGGGTAGATAAAGACAGACTATTTAACACAAGGGGTACACGCACTAGAAGAAACAGGTGGAAACTGAGTGCCCAAATGAGTCATAGACACATTAGAAAGATTCTTTTAGTATCAAAGTTGTTAATAAATGGAATGCATGAGCCAGTGATGTGGTGGAAGCTGACTCCATACACAGTTTCAAGTGTAGATATGATAGATCCCCAGTAGGCTCAGGAACCTGTACACCAGTTGATTGACAGTTGAGAGGCGGGACCAAAGAGCCGAAGCTCAACCCATGCAAGCACAACTAAGTGAGTACACACGACCTAGTAACCGAGTAGACAGCGCTCGAGGGTCGTAGTCCAAAGAGCCCAAGTTCAATCCCCGACAGAGGCAGAAATAAATGGGCAAAGTTTCTTTCAGCTGATGTCCTGTTCACCTTGCCGTAAATAGGTGCCTGGGAGTTAGGTAGCTGTTATGGACTGCATACTACGGGCTGACAGTTGAGAAGTGGGACCAAAGAGCCGAAACTCAACCCCCGAAAGAACAATTAGGTGAGTACACATATACTTACACAATCTCAGTTCGTACGATTTTCTAATGTCAAAAAATTAACCGATTTATTGTTGAAGATTAAGCCACTGTAAATCTGTACATAAAATTCACAAATAAATAAGTGTGGGAATTTTAACCTATGATATTATGTCTGTGGGAAAACATTACCATTATTTATTTACTGGATTTGATAAAAAAAAATATACAATAATATACTTCGAGTATGAACGCATAGCTGAAACTTTCTTCCAGGCGACTCATCGAAGTAATTACACAATGTAATAACCTGATCCGTTGTCTGCGTGGCCTTCACCTTCCTTGCGGTGATGGGTCTGGCCGGGTATATAAGCGTCGACCCGCGGCTCAAACCACACTCGCACCGACTTGTCTGTAGCGTCAACATGATCCTGGTAAGATCCAACTTTTTGTGCCGCTGCTTTGTATTCTCATAACGTATATACACGATAGATATGATTTATAAGTAGTGCTTGTACGTCACCTTCGATAAATCTAAGTAACACTTCGCGCTTTAAAACAATGTTATTTAATAAACGAACATTATTAGTCGACATCTAAGGACAAAAAATATTTCAAAGTTAGTAATTATAAGTTTCGAGGGGAAAAACGTATAATTTTATATCTTCTGCAGAAGTTGGTATTATTCACCTTGGCGGCTGTTGTGGGGGCTGACAAGCTCCCGTCTACCTCTTACGGGGCGCCCAGCAGAGGAAGTGGAGGTGTCCCAGGTGCGGGTGGAGGACGCTTTGGGGCTTCTGGAGTGAGAGGAGGCTTCGGTTCCCCTGGAGTGGGAGGAGGCTTCGGTTCCCCTAGATCAGGATTCGGAGGAGGACCAGTTGGTGGTTTTGGAGGATCACCTGGAGGCTTCGGGGGACCGAGTGGTGGAGCCTTCGGGGGCCCAGCCGGTAGTGGCTTTGGAGGCCCAGCCGGTGGTGGCTTCGGGGGAGCTGCAAGTGGAAGCTCTTTTGGCGGAAGTTACAGACCATCAGGACCTGTTGTGCCCATCCTGAGGGACGAGCGTCAGGGACCTGATGCGTACGGCAACTACAACTTCAACTTCGAGACTGGTGACGGCATCAGTCGTCATGAGCAGGGCGCCCCTCAGGGCCCGACTGGCGCCGTGGCATCTCAGGGAGGATGGTCGTGAGTAATCTATGTTAAACTCTTGTGTGTTTCTCTAATACTGGAACATTTTTGTATCTTTATTGTATGAAACTTTTAGATGCGAATTTTCATTTATAAGGGAATTGTAATATTTGGCGTTGCAGATTTACCTTCCCCGATGGAACTCCAGCTAACTTCAAGTTCGTCGCGGATGAAGGCGGTTACCGCGTGGAGTCTCCCCTGCTGCCCACGCCCCCGCCTCTCCCCGCCCACGCCATCGCCCAGATCGAGAAGGCTCGTCAGGAAGACGCCGCCGCTGCTGCTGGAGGTGGTCGAGGATCGTATGGAGCTGCATCGGGCTCCGCGTCTCAGTTCTCTGGAGTGTCTGGTGGAGGCTTTGGAGGAGCACCTTCTAGAGGCTTCGGAGGCGCACCTGCTGGAGGCTTCGGAGGCGCACCTGCCGGAGGCTTCGGAGGCGCACCTGCCGGAGGCTTCGGAGGCGCACCTGCCGGAGGCTTCGGAGGCGCACCTGCTGGAGGCTTCGGAGGCGCACCTGCTGGAGGCTTCGGAGGCACACCTGCTGGAGGCTTCGGAGGCGCACCTGCTGGAGGCTTCGGAGGCGCACCTGCTGGAGGCTTCGGAGCTGCTCCTTTGGCTCCCAGGAGGACCTACGGCGCCCCTTGATTATAATCGCACACGTGTAACAGTTAACCCATCTCATGATCTCTGCCAGAAAACTTTTCCGCCCTTGAGACCTCTTGGTGATATCCTGCTGGGTCTCTCTCTCTAGTCTTACGTCTTTCATGTCAACAGTGTCTCATGTCAGCTGATATCCAGAGTGTTGTTCTCAGATGAGTTGAACTCTACGCTTATTTAATTGATATATATATATATATATATATATATATTTTATCAAAATAAAATATTTCGATGAAAACCCGATTTTCCTTGTTTTATGTGAACAAATAGTAAATATATATTCCTGTTAAGATAGCATGAAAGAGCAAAAGCAAGTCGTTTTTGGTAATTATTGCTCTAAATAATTAAAAACGCATTTCTGCCTTAATGGGAAAAACGGAATAGCTGTGTAAAATTCATATATGAACAAGAGGTTGTCTGTCTGTTCCAGCTTGGAGGCCAGATGCCTGGAGACCAGACATTTGGAGGCCAGACGCCAGCTAGCTGGCTAGTCTTAACACACTTTGCATGGCGACTTATGAGTGTAGACCCCACATAGGTGGGTTGGGGTGGGTCTCCATCCCCCCCCCCCACTTTTGATCCCGAGTTCCAGCCTCGATAAATACCAGACTCAATCCTCTTTAAGATACACTAAGTATGTAATTTTCTACACGATAATCAAGTGTTGAGAGTACCAGGAATCAAGAGGAAACTTGCTACAGCATTCTGCTTAATCGATATAAACACACAAAAATATGGGTGCTTGGCAAGTTAATACATAAATATATGTAGTGAAGATGGTTACAGTGCAGTGTAGATGTAACCTCTGTTTTGTCAACCGAGCAACGCCTGGCATCCATGCTAGTATTACATATATATATATATATATATATATATATATATATATATATATATATATATATATATATATATATATATATATATATATATATATATATATATATATATATTAAGAAAACAACAGGTCTACCAGGACTGATGAGACTTATAAGTGGCAGTTGCTTCTTATATGGTAAGTCAAGTTCTCAATTCTGAGAACCTTTCTCTACATCACCCAAGATGCTTGAAACTGGATTAAAACTTTGACTGGCATGTAAAGTTTGTATCTTGCTCTACCATAACCATTCACACACACACAGCTCGTAGCTTATAAAGAGAACAGCAATTCGGTTCGAGCCAAACATATGAAGGATTAAGCCTTTCTCAAACAATATAGAATCAGTAACGAAGTGTAATGTAATACACAATACTTGCTCAGTTGTTGATATGAAAATATTAATTGTGAAACGCGGTTACATTTGTACAGCTGATCCCTCAGCTGTACAAATGTACAGCACTACAACATGAGACTAATTATTAAATAATCTTCTGAGGCATTGTACATAATTTACTGCATATAATGTCGTACATAATGTCATCGTACATAATGTCAGTGTATATTACTTCATCGGTTTTTCATTATTCCCCAGTTGAGGAACTAAAGTACCTTCACCCTTACACTACTCCAAACATCATATGCCACTTTCCTCCAAAGTGGAGGAAAGTCCAAAGTTGAAGGCCAAACACTGGGGGGGGGGGAGCCAGTCTCCCAAATTTGTAGGGAGGAATAATATGGGATACGGGACGGATATATATATGCTCGTCGTAGGAGGCCTAAGTTAAATGCCGCTAGAAATATAATCTTTAACTCAACACCCCCCGAGCGATTTTCATGAAGTTAGAGCTTAAATTGTGATGAAATCAGGCACGTGTTATCCGTAGAGTGTTTAAATTCCTCCCACCGCTTACTTGCGCATGCGGGAGATCATGCCGTATGCGCAAGTAAGCGGTGGGAGGAATGCCCAGTTATTAGACCTTTCAGACCAGTTGGCATGAGGTACCTGGAGCTTTGCAATTACTTTATTCACTCTCGTATTCTTGAAGATATCCTCACAGTATACCCAAAATTTGCCAGTGCAGGCTATTAAACACGTGGCTCTGTATGACTAACCATCCTGCGAGATGGGGACTTGTATTACCACTGCTACCTTATTCAATCTTGTGTTGATGATATCCTCAAAATGCATCTGGAGTCTGCCAGTGCAGACCGCTTATCACATGCCTCTGTATGACTAACCATCCTGTGTGATGGGGATTTTTTAGCGTCACCTAGTTAGCATTTTTGACACACTGTACTCCACTTCATATAGTCTAGGGTAGCTGCACTAATGCAGATGTACCTAATATGTTAATAAAAAAAAAAATTACTTGCGCATTATATATAAATGGAAATGTCTATCTGCTCGAGGAGAGGGTGAAAAGAAGAGGAAAATGGTGGACATGAGAGGGGAAAATGAAGGGGGGGGGGGGAGGGCCGAGGACTTAGAGGGAGGGGGGGATAAAAAGGAAGAGGGGGTGGGAGTGAAAGACATACTATCCCGGACACCGCCGGGTAACCCTCCTAGTATACCATAAGAGAATATGTTTAAAGACCAAACCACACATTAGAAAATGGGGAAGCGACTACGTTTCGGTCCGGCCTGGACCATTATTAAGTCGTGTGACAGAAAGGATTGATTGATGAATATTAAACCACCCAAGAGGTGGCACGGCCATGAATAGCCCGTAAATAGAAGGAAGACGTGGGCAAATATAAGGAAAGAGTAAGAAACAGGTAAGAATAGGGTGAATGTTAAAATATGGTAAGAATAGGTTGGGTGTACGAATAATATAAGAATAGGATGAAAATATGAATGTAAGACTAGAATATCTGTTTGTTTATCTGTCCGTTTCTCCAAATGTTGGAGGCCAGACGTTCAGGGCTACCCTGACCCAAATTTGCAGACAGGGAACAGCCTGGGGGACTTGACGGAAATAGGATGATTGATGTTGCCAGAATTAAAAACGGAACAGAGTTCCAGGTTCATAATCTAACCCTCCCCCTCCCCCCAAAAAATGATTTTGGGTACATCTCGCCGGCTACATCCATCAAATTAGGTTTGAAAATTAAAATTTTAATACTAACTTTTTTCTTATAGAATATTACCTTTAATACTATCTTATAATACACTATAATTATTCACAAATCTCAGGAAACAAATTCGCTCCTTGCTAATATTTTTTTTTTTCAGGAAATAAACCTGTTTGTTTCTTGTGAGTTAATAAACATGCGATCTGATGCACCTTTTTGAGTAAAACTTGGCGATATTTAAGTAGGTTGCACTCACATCCATCCACACATGCACCTTCCTTACAATTTATAAATGCACAGACGCTCAAACATCCCTATACACATACTAACTGGAATAACTAAATACTAATTTTATACCACAACAAATACTAAGAACAATTATAGTGTTATAAACTGATGGCAATGTCTTTGGTCAGCATCTGGACTGGGACCTTACGCAACGTCTTAACCTGGTCCGTTTTCCGTAGTCACGACCCTGGCGGTGATGGTCCGGCCGGGTATATAAGCCTCGACTGGCGGCTCAAACACCACCACTCACCTGGAGCTCTCCGCTACACCAACATGATCCTGGTAAGCTCCTGGTGTAGCCTATGTTCACTGAGAGTTTACTTCAGCTCTGTACTTATTTCACGATGTAAACTACTCTTGCTGGTGGGCCATTGGGTCTTTGTGGTGGTCTTAATTACCCATTAATACCTAACATTAATACTACACATAAATTTTCATAATATGCATTTTATATTGTCTTTTATTGATTCGTATAATATATTAAAAAAACAATTAAATGTTGTTTGAAAAGGTCTTTCAAGTTCATTACAAGGGTCAAAATTTAAATAATGTTGTTTAAAACTGACAAATAAATCATTATTATGATTAGGCTTTGAAAGTTAATGTGTAAATTTATGTATTTCCTACAGAAGACAGTTTTGTTTGCGTTGACGGCTGTCGCAGCGGCCGACAGACTCCCGTCTACTTCTTACGGAGTGCCGAGCAGAGGAAGCGGAGGATCTGCAGGTGGAGGCTTCGGAGGTCCTGGAGGAGCAAGCTTCGGAGGCTCTGGGGCTGGACGTGGAGGGGTGGGTGCAGGAGGCTTCGGGGGCCCTGGAGGATTTGGAAGCTCAAGTAGTGGAGGCTTCGGGGGCCCAGCCGGTGGTGGCTTCGGGGGCCCAGCCGGTGCTGGCTTCGGAAGCCAAGCCGGTGGTGGCTTCGGGGGAGCTGCAAGTGGAAGTTCTGTTAGCGGAAGTTACAGACCATCAGGACCTGTTGTGCCCATCCTGAGGGACGAGCGTCAGGGACCTGATGCGTACGGCAACTACAACTTCAACTTCGAGACTGGTGACGGTATCAGTCGTCAGGAGCAGGGCGCCCCTCAGGGCCCAACTGGCGCCGTGGCATCTCAGGGAGGATGGTCGTGAGTAATCTATGCTAAACTCTTGTGTGTTTCTTTGACATATAAACATTTTTGTAACTTCATTGCATGAAACATTTACGTAAGGAGCTTGATTTACAAACTATGCTAATTGCAATATCTGGCGTTGCAGATTTACCTTCCCTGACGGAACTCCAGCTAACTTCAAGTTCGTAGCGGATGAAGGTGGTTACCGCGTGGAGTCTGACCTGATTCATCCTCTCCCCGCCCACGCCATCGCCCAGATCGAAAAGGCTCGTCAGGAAGACGCCGCCGCGGCTGCTGGAGGTGGTCGAGGATCGTACGCAGCTGCGTCGGGCTCCTCGTCTCAGTTCTCAGGAGCACCTTCAGGAGGCTTTGGAGGAGCACCTTCTAGAGGCTTTGGAGGAGCATCTTCTGGAGGCTTCGGAGGAGCACCTTCTGGAGGCTTCGGGGGAGCACCTTCTGGAGGCTTTGGAGGAGCATCTTCTGGAGGCTTCGGAGGAGCACCTTCTGGAGGCTTCGGAGGAGCACCTTCTGGAGGCTTTGGAGGAGCACCTTCTGGAGGCTTTGGAAGCTCAGGCAGCGGAGGCTTCGGAGCCGCTCCTGTGGCTCCAAGCAGGACCTACGGCGCCCCATGAACATCATTGTCCTGTTACTTGCATCACTGACCACAAATGTTCACATCACGACCTTCACCATAGTCGGTTTCTTCCTTGAAACATCTCAGATCTCTGTTGCTGCCATCTTCTTTGGTCTTTCTAACCTCACGACTATAATATCAGCTGAGGCTCGTGTAAGCTGTGTCACGTGGCAGTTGAATCACGTGCCAGCTGAGTCCCATGTCAGCTGAGTCTCATGACAGCTGAATATTTTTGTCAGAGGTGATGTTAACTTTACGCTTATTCTAATGTTACTTATTTAATTACAAATAAACAAATCGATAACAGACATTCTATTCCTTAATACCAATTATAAACATATAATTAATTTAAAAAGGAAAGTTGTTTGTCGCAAGGCCTTAACATTATGTCAAAACAAAATATTCATTAACATTGCTTTTAGCAGTACGAATATAAGTCCAGAAAAACGTAACTTGCGTCTAACGTTTCAGTATGGTGAGACGCACACACACACACACACACACACACACACTGCTGACTCCATACACAATTTTAATTGTAGATACGATTGAGCTCAAGAAGCTCTTGAGCCTGTACAACAGTAGATTGACAGTTGACAGGTGAGACCAAAGTGCCGAAGCTCACCCCCCCCCCCCCCGCAAGCACAACTAGGTGCTTGCATAACAACAACACACACACGGCTACCTGCAGAGAGTACAGAAAGTAGGACAAAGGCAGACATGACTGACAGGCATTAAGCATCCACTAAGTGAAATTTATCAAACAACAATTTAGTAAGTGGTAATGTGGATACACTTAATTCTCGCTGAATTATTACTAGATAAACGTATAGGAATTTATGCTCTCAGTTGCATGGAAGATTCCCTAGTGGAAAAAGACGACCATTTGGTTATTAAATTAAGCTTTCCTTGAAGCGTATGTGTGGACATCAAGCGTGAAGACAACACGTGACGAATATTGTGAGTATACAACTCTTACCCTCTCACAGGCTCCGTAATACACAATCATACACACTGAAGCGTCAACTTGTCCTAACATCTTGAACATCGCTTTTTTGGCTTCTTTACGAAATGGACCAATCAGGAAAAAATACGACATGTTAATTACAAGCAAATGCTGTATAATACTGACGTTTTCTAAACATCGCTCACGATACGTTAGGTGGGTTGCAGGGGTTCAATCATTTCTGGGTAGGCAAAACAGTTGCATTTTTTCCGGAGTGCCAAAGAGAGAGAACGGCTGGTTCTGCAGCTGTACTGTTCGGCCTAGTTCCGGCCTTCCTTTGAAGTCTTATCTCCATCTATTCAACATTAGATTGAAATGCTACAGAGCACTTACTCAACACTTTATATAAGCTTATTTCATCTGTATCAGAAAGAGTGAAAGCTCCAAGACAGTTGCCACTTAAGCCTGGGAAAAGAAGCCAACGACTCATGGGTCTCTTGTTGTTTCCATTAGTATAGAACCCAGATTCTTCAAAAAGCTAGTGGGTCTTTTGCCCCAGCCACTAAGTTTCTCCAAAGCAATTTGGACAACACGAAAATGATGATTCTGTTCTCTGTACTTATGAGACTTTGCTGATTACCTATGGGTGGCAGCACCACCTACATATGCAACACTGAAGTCACTGTAGGTGCTACCCAAGGTTGATATGCAAGCATAGCCCCACCCAATTGCAATTATTTCACCGGAGCACTGTGATCCCACGAGGAGGACAAGAAGGATTGGCAAAGCTACGAAGTATTAAGTAAAGAATCTCTCACTGCTGGACATTCAACTATGTAAGACTCCTCCTAATGTCATTAACGTCATTGTGCCTCGAATGTTATCCCCCTGTGCCTTGGGAGAGCAGGCCATGCTGGCTCAGCCTGTCAGCCCTTGCCACAAATACACTTATATTCGGTCTGGATTGAGGCAGCAAGGTGGACAGCCTGCCGTATGGATGCATGCCAGTTGCTGACCTTGGAGTTACTAATAGGAAGTCACCCACATGTGGAGCTGCTACTGAAGTCAGGCAAGCAATGTTGTGTGGTGTTGTTGCAGCGTCCTGGCACACTGCTGCTACTCAGTATACAATGGGGCCATCTCAGCTGTGTTGCATGGAGGCTTCGGATTGTGGTGGTTGAAGTGCTGGGGGTACAAGAGAGACCCATTAAATACCGCAATGTATAAATCTGGGAACGTGTACCCCTGCCAATGCGCCTAGGTAATCCGGTAGAATTTCCTTCACTAACCAAATGCAGCTGTGGAGGACAGGAAACCTGGTACAGCGATTTGTGTTGCTATGAGAACACTGAGGCCCCCTAACTCTGAGGAGAAGGAATGTTTGTTTCCACTGTATACCACTCAAAGGTTAAGGGCTTTTTCTAACAATAATTTCAGTAAGCTGTCGTATCCACTTAACTTCGGGCTATTGTAAAATGAAGAATATCTCAAAAAGTAAGTTAACCCTCGGAAGGGCCAGGCTCCTGGGGATGAGGTCAAAGGCTTCGTGAGCACTAATATCTTTAATCCTCTCTTTCTTGCTCATCAGATGAGCGATCTTACCAAGGACCTCGTCGATGGCCTTCGGCCCAAGAAAAACACCTAGGAGTGTGCTGTCTTCAGGTTTCATTATATGGGTTAGAAAAGGATATTCCACATTAAGAAGGGATCAGGGAGAAACTTAGGTTTGCTTCTTCCATGTATATATTTTTTTCCAGGAAATAAAGCTGTTCGTTTCTATTTAGTTAATTAACATATGTTCTGTTTCTCCTTTTATAATAACACTTTCCGATAACCGTACTTTATACGAAGGTTGCACTTAAACGCATCCATACATGCACTAATGCAATTATGCATACAAGGTATAAGGTATAAATGCACAGAAGCTCACACCTACATACACATGTACTATCTGGGATTACTAAATAATGCATTTAAAAATAACAATAATAAGAACAATTGTATTATAAACTGAGGGCAATGTCTTTGGTCAGCATCCGGACTGGGCACTTACGCAACGTCTTAACCTGGTCTGTTTTCCGTAGTCACGACCCTGGCGGTGATGGTCCGGCCAGGTATATAAGCCTCGACTGGCGGCTCAAACACCACCACTCACCTGGAGCTCTCCGCTACACCAACATGATCCTGGTAAGCCCCTGGTGTATCCTCATGGTGTAGCCTATGTTCACTGAGAGTTTACTACAGTTCTGAACTTGTTTCACGATGTAAACTATTCTTGCTGGTTGGCCAATGGGTCATTGTGGTGGTCTTAATTACCCAATAATACCTAACATTAATACTAGACATAAATTTTTATAATATGCATTTGATATTGTCATTTATTGATTCGAATAATATTTAAAAAACCCATTAAATGATGTTTGAAAGGGCTTTCAAGTTCATTACAAGGGACAAAATTTAAATATTGTTGTTTAAAATTGACAAATAAATCATTATTATGATTAGGTTATGAAAGTTAATGTATAAATTTATGTATTTCCTACAGAAGACAGTTTTGTTTGCGTTGACGGCTGTCGCAGCGGCCGACAGACTCCCGTCTACTTCTTACGGGGTGCCGAGCAGAGGAAGCGGAGGATCAGCAGGTGGAGGCTTCGGAGGTCCTGGGGGAGCAGGCTTCGGGGGCTCTGGGGCTGGACGTGGAGGGGTGGGTGCAGGAGGTTTCGGGGGCCCTGGAGGATTTGGGAGCTCAAGTGGTCGAGGCTTTGGGGGCCCAGCCGGTGGTGGCTTCGGGGGCCCAGCCGGTGGTGGCTTCGGGAGCCAAGCCGGTGGTGGCTTCGGGGGAGCTGCAAGTGGAAGTTCTGTTAGCGGAAGTTACAGACCATCAGGACCTGTTGTGCCCATTCTGAGGGACGAGCGTCAGGGACCTGATGCGTACGGCAACTACAACTTCAACTTCGAGACTGGTGACGGTATCAGTCGTCAGGAGCAGGGCGCCCCTCAGGGCCCAACTGGCGCCGTGGCATCTCAGGGAGGATGGTCGTGAGTAATCTATGCTAAACTTTTGCATGTTTCTTTGACATATAAACATTTTTGTAACTTCATTGCATGAAACATTTACGTAAGGAGCTTGATTTACAAACTATGCTAATTGCAATATCTGGCGTTGCAGATTTACCTTCCCTGACGGAACTCCAGCTAACTTCAAGTTCGTAGCGGATGAAGGTGGTTACCGCGTGGAGTCTGACCTGATTCATCCTCTTCCCGCCCACGCCATCGCCCAGATCGAAAAGGCTCGTCAGGAAGACGCCGCCGCGGCTGCTGGAGGTGGTCGAGGATCGTACGCAGCTGCGTCGGGCTCCTCGTCTCAGTTCTCAGGAGCACCTTCAGGAGGCTTTGGAGGAGCACCTTCTAGAGGCTTTGGAGGAGCATCTTCTGGAGGCTTCGGAGGAGCACCTTCTGGAGGCTTCGGGGGAGCACCTTCTGGAGGCTTTGGAGGAGCATCTTCTGGAGGCTTCGGAGGAGCACCTTCTGGAGGCTTCGGAGGAGCACCTTCTGGAGGCTTTGGAGGAGCACCTTCTGGAGGCTTTGGAAGCTCAGGCAGCGGAGGCTTCGGAGCCGCTCCTGTGGCTCCAAGCAGGACCTACGGCGCCCCATGAACATCATTGTCCTGTTACTTGCATCACTGACCACAAATGTTCACATCACGACCTTCACCATAGTCGGTTTCTTCCTTGAAACATCTCAGATCTCTGTTGCTGCCATCTTCTTTGGTCTTTCTAACCTCACGACTATAATATCAGCTGAGGCTCGTGTAAGCTGTGTCACGTGGCAGTTGAATCACGTGCCAGCTGAGTCCCATGTCAGCTGAGTCTCATGACAGCTGAATATTTTTGTCAGAGGTGATGTTAACTTTACGCTTATTCTAATGTTACTTATTTAATTACAAATAAACAAATCGATAACAGACATTCTATTCCTTAATACCAATTATAAACATATAATTAATTTAAAAAGGAAAGTTGTTTGTCGCAAGGCCTTAACATTATGTCAAAACAAAATATTCATTAACATTGCTTTTAGCAGTACGAATATAAGTCCAGAAAAACGTAACTTGCGTCTAACGTTTCAGTATGGTGAGACGCACACACACACACACACACACACACACACACACACACTGCTGACTCCATACACAATTTTAATTGTAGATACGATTGAGCTCAAGAAGCTCTTGAGCCTGTACAACAGTAGATTGACAGTTGACAGGTGAGACCAAAGTGCCGAAGCTCACCCCCCCCCCCCCCGCAAGCACAACTAGGTGCTTGCATAACAACAACACACACACGGCTACCTGCAGAGAGTACAGAAAGTAGGACAAAGGCAGACATGACTGACAGGCATTAAGCATCCACTAAGTGAAATTTATCAAACAACAATTTAGTAAGTGGTAATGTGGATACACTTAATTCTCGCTGAATTATTACTAGATAAACGTATAGGAATTTATGCTCTCAGTTGCATGGAAGATTCCCTAGTGGAAAAAGACGACCATTTGGTTATTAAATTAAGCTTTCCTTGAAGCGTATGTGTGGACATCAAGCGTGAAGACAACACGTGACGAATATTGTGAGTATACAACTCTTACCCTCTCACAGGCTCCGTAATACACAATCATACACACTGAAGCGTCAACTTGTCCTAACATCTTGAACATCGCTTTTTTGGCTTCTTTACGAAATGGACCAATCAGGAAAAAATACGACATGTTAATTACAAGCAAATGCTGTATAATACTGACGTTTTCTAAACATCGCTCACGATACGTTAGGTGGGTTGCAGGGGTTCAATCATTTCTGGGTAGGCAAAACAGTTGCATTTTTTCCGGAGTGCCAAAGAGAGAGAACGGCTGGTTCTGCAGCTGTACTGTTCGGCCTAGTTCCGGCCTTCCTTTGAAGTCTTATCTCCATCTATTCAACATTAGATTGAAATGCTACAGAGCACTTACTCAACACTTTATATAAGCTTATTTCATCTGTATCAGAAAGAGTGAAAGCTCCAAGACAGTTGCCACTTAAGCCTGGGAAAAGAAGCCAACGACTCATGGGTCTCTTGTTGTTTCCATTAGTATAGAACCCAGATTCTTCAAAAAGCTAGTGGGTCTTTTGCCCCAGCCACTAAGTTTCTCCAAAGCAATTTGGACAACACGAAAATGATGATTCTGTTCTCTGTACTTATGAGACTTTGCTGATTACCTATGGGTGGCAGCACCACCTACATATGCAACACTGAAGTCACTGTAGGTGCTACCCAAGGTTGATATGCAAGCATAGCCCCACCCAATTGCAATTATTTCACCGGAGCACTGTGATCCCACGAGGAGGACAAGAAGGATTGGCAAAGCTACGAAGTATTAAGTAAAGAATCTCTCACTGCTGGACATTCAACTATGTAAGACTCCTCCTAATGTCATTAACGTCATTGTGCCTCGAATGTTATCCCCCTGTGCCTTGGGAGAGCAGGCCATGCTGGCTCAGCCTGTCAGCCCTTGCCACAAATACACTTATATTCGGTCTGGATTGAGGCAGCAAGGTGGACAGCCTGCCGTATGGATGCATGCCAGTTGCTGACCTTGGAGTTACTAATAGGAAGTCACCCACATGTGGAGCTGCTACTGAAGTCAGGCAAGCAATGTTGTGTGGTGTTGTTGCAGCGTCCTGGCACACTGCTGCTACTCAGTATACAATGGGGCCATCTCAGCTGTGTTGCATGGAGGCTTCGGATTGTGGTGGTTGAAGTGCTGGGGGTACAAGAGAGACCCATTAAATACCGCAATGTATAAATCTGGGAACGTGTACCCCTGCCAATGCGCCTAGGTAATCCGGTAGAATTTCCTTCACTAACCAAATGCAGCTGTGGAGGACAGGAAACCTGGTACAGCGATTTGTGTTGCTATGAGAACACTGAGGCCCCCTAACTCTGAGGAGAAGGAATGTTTGTTTCCACTGTATACCACTCAAAGGTTAAGGGCTTTTTCTAACAATAATTTCAGTAAGCTGTCGTATCCACTTAACTTCGGGCTATTGTAAAATGAAGAATATCTCAAAAAGTAAGTTAACCCTCGGAAGGGCCAGGCTCCTGGGGATGAGGTCAAAGGCTTCGTGAGCACTAATATCTTTAATCCTCTCTTTCTTGCTCATCAGATGAGCGATCTTACCAAGGACCTCGTCGATGGCCTTCGGCCCAAGAAAAACACCTAGGAGTGTGCTGTCTTCAGGTTTCATTATATGGGTTAGAAAAGGATATTCCACATTAAGAAGGGATCAGGGAGAAACTTAGGTTTGCTTCTTCCATGTATATATTTTTTTCCAGGAAATAAAGCTGTTCGTTTCTATTTAGTTAATTAACATATGTTCTGTTTCTCCTTTTATAATAACACTTTCCGATAACCGTACTTTATACGAAGGTTGCACTTAAACGCATCCATACATGCACTAATGCAATTATGCATACAAGGTATAAGGTATAAATGCACAGAAGCTCACACCTACATACACATGTACTATCTGGGATTACTAAATAATGCATTTAAAAATAACAATAATAAGAACAATTGTATTATAAACTGAGGGCAATGTCTTTGGTCAGCATCCGGACTGGGCACTTACGCAACGTCTTAACCTGGTCTGTTTTCCGTAGTCACGACCCTGGCGGTGATGGTCCGGCCAGGTATATAAGCCTCGACTGGCGGCTCAAACACCACCACTCACCTGGAGCTCTCCGCTACACCAACATGATCCTGGTAAGCCCCTGGTGTATCCTCATGGTGTAGCCTATGTTCACTGAGAGTTTACTACAGTTCTGAACTTGTTTCACGATGTAAACTATTCTTGCTGGTTGGCCAATGGGTCATTGTGGTGGTCTTAATTACCCAATAATACCTAACATTAATACTAGACATAAATTTTTATAATATGCATTTGATATTGTCATTTATTGATTCGAATAATATTTAAAAACCCATTAAATGATGTTTGAAAGGGCTTTCAAGTTCATTACAAGGGACAAAATTAAAATATTGTTGTTTAAAATTGACAAATAAATCATTATTATGATTAGGTTATGAAAGTTAATGTATAAATTTATGTATTTCCTACAGAAGACAGTTTTGTTTGCGTTGACGGCTGTCGCAGCGGCCGACAGACTCCCGTCTACTTCTTACGGGGTGCCGAGCAGAGGAAGCGGAGGATCAGCAGGTGGAGGCTTCGGAGGTCCTGGGGGAGCAGGCTTCGGGGGCTCTGGGGCTGGACGTGGAGGGGTGGGTGCAGGAGGTTTCGGGGGCCCTGGAGGATTTGGGAGCTCAAGTGGTCGAGGCTTTGGGGGTCCAGCCGGTGGTGGCTTTGGGGGCCCAGCCGGTGGTGGCTTCGGGAGCCAAGCCGGTGGTGGCTTCGGGGGAGCTGCAAGTGGAAGTTCTGTTAGCGGAAGTTACAGACCATCAGGACCTGTTGTGCCCATTCTGAGGGACGAGCGTCAGGGACCTGATGCGTACGGCAACTACAACTTCAACTTCGAGACTGGTGAAGGCATCAGTCGTCAGGAGCAGGGCGCCCCTCAGGGCCCGACTGGCGCCGTGGCATCTCAAGGAGAATGGTCGTGAGTAATCTATGCTAAACTTTTGCATGTTTCTCTAATATTTAAACATTTTTGTAACTTCATTGCACGAAACATTTACCTATGGAGCTTCATTTACAAGGGATACCAATTGGAATATCTCCATTGCAGATTTACCTTCCCCGATGGAACTCCAGCTAACTTCAAGTTCGTAGCGGATGAAGGCGGTTACCGCGTGGAGTCTGACCTGATTCATCCTCTTCCCGCCCACGCCATCGCCCAGATCGAGAAGGCTCGTCAGGAAGACGCCGCCGCAGCAGCTGGAGGTGGTCGAGGATCGTACGCAGCTGCGTCGGGCTCCTCGTCTCAGTTCTCAGGAGCACCTTCTGGAGGCTTTGGAGGAGCACCTTCTGGAGGCTTTGGAGGAGCACCTTCTAGAGGCTTTGGAGGAGCATCTTCTGGAGGCTTCGGAGGAGCACCTTCTGGAGGCTTCGGCGGAGCACCTTCTGGAGGCTTCGGAGGAGCACCTTCTGGAGGCTTTGGAAGCTCAGGCAGCGGAGGCTTCGGAGCCGCTCCTGTGGCTCCAAGCAGGACCTACGGCGCCCCATGAACATCATTGTCCTGTTACTTGCATCACTGACCACAAATGTTCACATCACGACCTTCACCATAGTCGGTTTCTTCCTTGAAACATCTCAGATCTCTGTTGCTGCCATTTTCTTTGGTCTTTCTAACCTCACGACTATAATGTCAGCTGAGGCTCGTGTCAGCTGTGTCACGTGTCAGCTGAGTCTCATGACAGCTGAATATTTTTGTCAGGGGTGATGTTTACTCTACGCTTATTCTAACGTTACTTATTTAATTACAAATAAACAAATCGATAACAGACATTTTATTCTTTAATACCAATTATAAGCATATAATTAATTTAAGAAGGAAAGTTGTTTGTCGCAAGGCCTTAACATTATGTCAAAACAAAATATTCATTAACATCGCTCTCATGAGTACGAATATAAGTCCAGAAAAACGTAACTTGCGTCTAACGTTTCAGTATCGTGAGACGCACACACACACACACACACACACACACACACACACACACTGCTGACTCCATCTAGAATTTTATTGTAGATACGATAGAGGTCAAGAAGCTCTTGAGCCTGTACACCAATAGATTGACAGTTGAGAGGTGAGACCAAAGAGCCGAAGCTCAACCCCCCGCAAGCACAACTAGATGCTTGTCTAACAACAACACACACACGGCTACCTGCAGAGAGTACAGAAAGTAGGACAAAGGCAGACATGACTGACAGGCATTAATTAAGCATCCACTAAGTGAAATTTATCAAACAACAATTTAGTAAGTGGTAATGTGGATACACTTAATTCTCGCTGAATTATTACTAGATAAATGTAATTGGAATTTATGCTCTCAGTTGTATGGGAGATTCCCTAGTGGAAAAGGACGACCATTTGGTTATTAAGCTTTCCTTCAAGAGTATAAGTGGACATCAAGCGTGACGACAACACGTGACGAATATTGTGAGTATACAACTCTTACCCTCTCACAGGCTCCGTAATACACAATCATACACACTGGAACGTCAATTTGTCCTCACACCTTGAACATCGCTTTTTTGGTTTCTTTACGAAATAGACCAATCAGGATAAAATACCACATGTTAATTACAAGCGAATGCTATATAATACTGACGTTTTCTAAACATCGCTCACGATACGTTAGGTGGGTTGCTGGGGTTCAATCATTTCTGGGTAGGCAAAACAGTTGCATTTTTTCCGGAGTGCCAAAGAGAGAGAACGGCTGGTTCTGCAGCTGTACTGTTCGGCCTAGTTCCGGCCTTCCTTTGAAGTCTTATCTCCATCTATTCAACATTAGATTGAAATGCTACAGAGCCCTTACTCAACACTTTACATAAGCTTATTTCATCTGTATCAGAAACAGTGAAAGCTCCAAGACAGTTGCCACTTAAGCCTGGGAAAAGAAGCCAACGACTCATGGGTCTCTTGTTGTTTCGATTAGTATAGCACCCAGATTTTTCAAAAAGCTAGTGGGTCTTTTGCCCCGCCACTAAGTTTCTCCAAAGGAATTTGGACAATACGAAAATGATGATTCTGTTCTCTGTACTTATGAGACTTTGCTGATTCCCTATGGGTGGCAGCACCACCTGCATATGCAACTCTGAAGTCACTGTAGGTGCTAGCCAAGGTTGATATGCAAGCGTAGTCTTACCAACTGCTATTATTTCACCGGAGAACTGTGATCCCACGAGGAGGACAAGAAGGATTGGCAAAGCTTCGAAGAATTAAGTAAAGGGTCTCTCACTGCTGGACATTCAGCTATGTAAGACTCCTCTTAATGTCATTAACGTCATTGTTTCTCGAATGTTATCCCCCTGTGCCTTGGCAGAGCAGGCCATGCTGGCTCAGCCTATCAGCCCTTGCCACAAATACACTTATATTCAATCTGGATTTACGCAGGAAGGTGGAGAGCCTGCAGTATGGATGCATGCCAGTTGCTGACCTTGGAGTTACTAATAGGAAGTCACCCACATGTGGAGGTGCTACTGAAGTCAGGCAAGCAATGTTGTTGCAGCGTCCTGGCACACTGCTGCTACTCAGTATTCAATGGGGCCATCTCAGCTGTGTTGCATGGAGGCTTCGGATTGTGGTGGTTGAAGTGCTGGGGGTACAAGAGAGACCCACTAAATACCGCAGTGCACAAATCTGGGATCGTGTACCCCTGCCAATGCGCCTAGGTTATCCGGTAGGATTTCCTTCACTAACCAGATGCAGCTGCGGAGGACAGGAAACCTAGTACAGCGATTTGTGTTGTTATGAGAACACTGAGACCCCCCAACTCTGAGGAGAAGTTGGGGGGCCTCAGTTGGGAACCCAACTCTGAGTAATGTTTGTTTGCACTGTAGACCACTGAAAGGTTAAGGGCATTTTCTAACAGTAATTTCAGTAAGCTGTCGTATCCACTTAACTTCGGGCTACTGTAAAATTGAGAACATCTCAGAGAATAGGTGAGTCCTCGGGAGGGTCAGGCTCCTGGGAATGAGGTCAAAGGCTTCGTGAGTATGTGTCTTTAATCCTCTCTTTCTTGCACATCAGGTGAGCGATCTTCTTACCAAGGACCTCGTCGATGGCCTTCGGCCCAAGAAGAACGCCTAGGAGTGTGCTGTCTTCAGGTTTCGTTATATGGATGTCAGGCAAAATATCCTTTGATCAATAATGAACTGGTTGGAAGAGAATATTTCACTTTGAGAAGGGATCAGGGGAAGACTTAGGTTTGCTTCTTCCATGTATATATTTTTTTTCCAGGAAATAAAGCTGTTCGTTTCTATTTAGTTAATTAACATATGTTCTGTTTCTCCTTTTATAATAACACTTTCCGATAACCGTACTTTTTACGAAGGTTGCACTCAAACGCATCCATACATGCACTAATGCAATTATGCATTCAAGGTATAAGGTATAAATGCACAGCTCACACCTACATACACATGTACTATCTGGGATTACTAAATAATGTATTAAAAATAAGATGAAAAATTGTAGTGTTATAAATTGATGGCAATGTCTTTGGTCAGCATCAGGACTGGGCACTTACGCAACGTCTTAACCTGGTCTGTTTTCCGTAGTCACGACCCTGGCGGTGATGGTCCGGCCGGGTATATAAGCCTCGGCTGGCGGCTCAAACACCACCACTCACCTGGAGCTCTCCGCTACACCAACATGATCCTGGTAAGCTCCTGGTGTACCCTATGTTCACTGAGAGTTTACTTCAGCTCTGTACTTGTTTCACGATGTAAACTATTCTGGCTGGTTGGCCATTGGGTCATTGTGGTGGTCTTAATTACCCATTAATACCTAACTTTAATATTAGACATAAATTTTTATAATATGCATTTGGTATTGTCATTTATTGATTCGCATAATATTTAAAAAACCATTAAATGTTGTTTGAAAAGATCTTTCAAGTTCATTACAAGGGTCAAAATTAAAATATTGTTGTTTAAAACTGACAAATAAATCATTATTATGATTAGGCTTTGAAAGTTAATGTATAAATTTATGTATTTCCTACAGAAGACAGTTTTGTTTGCGTTGACGGCTGTCGCAGCGGCCGACAGACTCCCGTCTACTTCTTACGGAGTGCCGAGCAGAGGAAGCGGAGGATCTGCAGGTGGAGGCTTCGGAGGTCCTGGGGGAGCAGGCTTCGGGGGCTCTGGGGCTGGACGTGGAGGGGTGGGTGCAGGAGGTTTCGGGGGCCCTGGAGGATTTGGAAGCTCAAGTGGTGGAGGCTTTGGGGGTCCAGCCGGTGGTGGTTTCGGGGGCCCAGCCGGTGGTGGCTTCGGGGGCCCAGCCGGTGGTGGCTTCGGGAGCCAAGCCGGTGGTGGCTTTGGGGGAGCTGCAAGTGGAAGTTCTGTTAGCGGAAGTTACAGACCATCAGGTCCTGTTGTGCCCATCCTGAGGGACGAGCGTCAGGGACCTGATGCGTTCGGGAACTACAACTTCAACTTCGAGACTGGTGACGGTATCAGTCGTCAGGAGCAGGGCGCCCCTCAGGGTCCGACTGGCGCCGTGGCATCTCAGGGAGGATGGTCGTGAGTAATCTATGCTAAACTCTTGTGTGTTTCTCTAATACTGAAACATTTTTGTATCATCATTGTTTGAAACATTTACATTTGGAGCTTCATTTATAAGGGAAGCTAATTGAAATATTTGGCGTTGCAGATTTACCTTCCCCGACGGAACTCCAGCTGACTTCAAGTTCGTTGCGGATGAAGGCGGTTACCGCGTGGAGTCTCCCCTGCTGCCCACGCCCCCGCCTCTCCCCGCCCACGCCATCGCCCAGATCGAGAAGGCTCGTCAGGAAGACGCCGCCGCGGCTGCTGGAGGTGGTCGAGGATCGTACGCAGCTGCGTCGGGCTCCTCGTCTCAGTTCTCAGGAGCACCTTCTGGAGGCTTTGGAGGAGCACCTTCTGGAGGCTTCGGAGGAGCATCTTCTGGAGGCTTCGGAGGAGCATCTTCTGGAGGCTTTGGAGGAGCACCTTCTGGAGGCTTCGGAGGAGCACCTGCTGGAGGCTTCGGAGGAGCACCTGCTGGAGGCTTCGGAGGAGCATCTTCTGGAGGCTTCGGAGGAGCATCTTCTGGAGGCTTTGGAGGTTCAGGCAGTGGAGGCTTCGGAGCCGCTCCTGCGGCTCCAAGCAGGACCTACGGCGCCCCATGAACATCATTGTCCTGTTACTTGCATCACTGACCACAAACGTTTACATCACGACCTTCACTATAGTCTATTTCTTCCTCGAAACATCTCAGATCTCTGTTGCTGCCATCATCTTTGGTCCATCTTCACGACTATCACGTCAGCTGAGTCTCATGTTATCTGAATATTTTTTTCAGAGATGACGTTTAATCTACGCTTATTCTAATGTTAATTATTTCATTTTAATAAAACGAGATAAACAATATACGGTATATCAATACTAAACCACACACGATAAAAGGAGAAGACGACGACGTTTCGGTCCGTCATGGACCAATATCAAGTCGATTGTGATGGGAGCGAATGAGGGACAGAAAGTGGAGAGGGTGAGGAGGAGGAAATTCTTAGAGGAAGAAAAGAGCAAGGCGAAAAGCACTGATGGGATGTGTAATATATAGGGGGGTGTGTAAGAAGAGGGTAATAATGGGTATAAGATTGGAAACGTAATAATAAGAGGAGAAAGAAAAAACGATGGGTAGATTTATATAAGGTCACGTTCGTTAGAAGGTTTAGAGCATTTGAGTATGTACAGTGAAAGGGAAGAGTCAACAACAACAAAGCCAGGACTCCAAAGTCATGTTGGGTAGGTTGTGTATCAGAGCAGATTCGACAAGACGGCGTCTGTGAAGGGTAAAAATAGAAAAGATTATTTTAGAAGACCAATCAATAGGATGATTAGAATCCCTATCATGATAGAAGAGAGCATTGCTTTGTGTCTGCAGACTTAACACTTCTTTTGTGTTTCTTAAGTCTGTTATTTAATGGACGGCCAGTTTTCCCTCGCTTCCATCACAATGGACTTAATAATGGTCCAAGACGGACCGAAACGTCGTCGTCTTCTCCGTTTATCGTGTGTGCTTTAGTATTGATTGTGACTCATCGTCTGAAGACGCTACATCCTTTAATTCCAAAAATAAGTATATAATGCTTTTAAGAAAGTTGTCTGTGGCATGGCCTTATAGCTATAACAAAAATCTTCACTAACAATGCTTTTAGCAGGACGAATATAAGTCCAGAAAATTATTACACACAGACACACACACACACACACACAGGTCTTGCTGCTTACAGAGGGTGAAGTAAGCGTTGTAAAGCCTTACATGTGAAGCATCGAGGTCCTACTCGAGCAATACTTGTCTGGTAGCCTAAAGGGATTTTAACACAATACACCTTGGATTAGTAGATAAATATAAATTGTTGAAGGCCTGTGACCTGAGATATCCAGACTTGCCCAACCTTCGCCCCCTATTGAGTGCACATTACAATCAGCTGGATTCTTGTGACCCTCAGGCGTGATGAAACTGTAGAGAATAGATCACAATAAAGTTGCTGATCGTATATAACCCGACCCACTTATACGTATGGAAATGAACTCTTGGTGATGTTGTGGACTTCTCTCTTGATGGCACTTTTGACGTCCTGGGCCCTTAATTATCCCGTCCTGGAACCTTATCAAGTCCTGGAACCTTATCAAGTCCTGGAACCTTATCAAGTCCTGGAACCTTATCAAGTCCTGGAATCTTATGAAGTCCCGGAACCTTATCAAGTCCTGGAACCTTATCAAGTCCTGGAACCTTATGAAGTCCTGGAATCTTATGAAGTCCCGGAACCTTATCAAGTCCTGGAACCTTATCAAGTCCTGGAACCTTATGAAGTCCTGGAATCTTATGAAGTCCCGGAACCTTATCAAGTCCTGGAACCTTATCAAGTCCTGGAACCTTATGAAGTCCTGGAATCTTATGAAGTCCCGGAACCTTATCAAGTCCTGGAACCTTATCAAGTCCTGGAACCTTATCAAGTCCTGGAACCTTATGAAGTCTTGGAATCTTATGAAGTCCTGGAACCTTATCAAGTCCTGGAACCTTATCAAGTCCTGGAACCTTATCAAGTCCTGGAACCTTATCAAGTCCTGGAACCTTATCAAGTCCTGGAACCTTATGAAGTCCTGGAATCTTATGAAGTCCTGGAACCTTATCAAGTCCTGGAACCTTATGAAGTCCTGGAATCTTATGAAGTCCCGGAACCTTATCAAGTCCTGGAACTTTATCAAGTCGAAACAGGTAAAATATCTGAATGAAAATCTCACCTGGATGTTTGTTTACGTTACTGAGAGTACTTTGTGCTTTGCTAAAGCGATCTTTCGTGTTGATCTTCATGAACAGTCAAACGTGACAAAGACAGGACGTGCTGCGCCCGGCGGTGACAACATACAACCCTTATTTAATGTTAACAATTGTGTAACTAGCTTCACAAGATTGTCACTGACTTACCTATACGAACTGTTGGGTTTAGTTACTGAACCCATGATGTCCCTGTGTAACCCTTCCCACCACCGCCCACGGGATGGGTATGGGGTGAATAATAAAGAAATGAATGAACCATACCGTCAATTCAAGCAAAAGACAATTTTGCAAAAATCTGCTATATTTTGACAACGTCTTTTCTGTTTATTCAAACACTATTTTTATTGAAGTTAATATACCAGAACAAAATTATTTGAGTTCTCCCGATAAAAAGGAGACTTTTACTTCGTCTTTTGGTGCTTAATGTGATTTGCCAGATGTATTGTCAGGTAAAGTGACCTTGCCAGACATGTGAAGTTATAACAGTGACTCTTTTTTCCCAGTCCACCTGGAACACTCGCCACAACTCAGGCATCTCGCCCTGTCATTGAGCAACCAAGCGCCACTCATTGGCCAAAAATATACATCCTAATAACCAGTGGCAGGAGCCCATGGGGCTCCTGCCACTGGCGGGACATTCCTGGGACCAGATTCACGAAAGCACTTACGCAAGCACTTACGAACGTGTACATCTTTCCTCAATCTCTGACGGCTTTGGTTACATTTATTAAACAGTTTACAAGCGTGAAAACTTCCCAATCAACTGTTGTTAGTGTTATAAACAGCCTCCTGGTGCTTCGGAGCTCATTAACTGTTTAATAATTGGAAACAAAGCCGCCAAACATTGAGAAAAGATGTACAGGTTCGTAAGTGCTTGCGTAACTGCTTCGTGAATCTGGCCCCTGGACTCCTATAGGCCACGAGTACGAAACCCGGGCATCTTTCCTCGATCATGGAGGTTTATTGTGTATTTATTCAACGGTTTACGAGGCCAGAAACGCTGCGAGGTCGTTCCCTCATAAACTGTTTAATAAATGCAAATTAAGCCGCCATGATTGAGGACAAATGTACAGGTTTCGCAAGGGGGACACGTAAGGGCGTTGATGAATCATGGCCTTTGCTAGAGGTGTCGGTAACACACTTGACCAATGGTATAAGACTCCCCCAATGAAGCTGGGTTCTCATTGGCCGGTTCTCACATTTCGAAAAATTCAGCCAGAGTCAGCGTCAAGCTTCGCTACCTCGCCTGCCCTTCTCAACTCAAGCTTCAAGGAGCTCCTTTTCTCCTGAAATGATGTGAAGCTCACCACATCATCTCAAAGAGCCATCAAATTATCAGCATCATGTCACTGGAAATTGTGAGGTCACACTCATATATATCTGCTGACTCTGCCATCTCCAGGATGCAACCCTACAACAGTTGCCTAACTCTCGGGTACCTAGTTGCCGATAGGTGAACAGAGGCATCAGGTGAGAGGGTACGTTGTCCCAACCCCGCTTTTGTCCTCCTGTGGGAAGCGAACCCGGCTTGTCGGTTGTGTCTTGACTGCACCACAGGATGATAGACTATTATACACAATATACATTCACAAGTTGAATTGTTTTAAAATTATGTTGACATCTCAGACATAAACAGTGACTGCGATGGGCTAATTATCGAACAAATTAGCTTATGTTGTTAGTTGGACAGATGATTTACAAATGACAAAAGTAGCTCATTCGGATGTAAATTATTTCTTCAAATGTATGTGTTTGTATGGGGAACCGACCTGTGAGATTTATATTTATTTAATTTTTAATGAATTTATATTCGATGGCAATTTATATGATGTTTAGTGGACTGTATTTCTGCAATATTCTCACAAGTCGACTCCTTGCACATTAGGGGGGGGGGTATATTAAATTTATCAGAGGAAATATTGGTATATTATTTATAAGATAAGGACCAAGGAATAATTGCCTGGTTTAAGTCGCTTTCTCGTGTCCTAACCGGAATTAATCCTATCTACCTGACACTACTGGCCAGAAATGATTAGATAAGATTTCGGAAAGACACTTCCCTTGTTTAGATGTTGACTGCTGTTGATGATGGAAGAAGCACTAATTTGATCTCCAAAACACTTCATCCAAGGGAGAATTATATGAGCTGAACTTACTCCAGCGACCTGTTGTCTTAACAATGGCTGACCTCTCACCACTGACGCTCTGGCTCTCCTTGTCCAGATGTCAATAAATGGTAGAAGAGTCACATTTACTCTATTTTGGTACTGATAATTAAGTTAATTCAAATGAGATGTTTTTATGATGTTAAAAGTCCAAAGACTGCTGTATTAAGCATAATTCCCAACAGAATAGTGGTAAATTTATAGCACTATGTGGCAATGATATCTCCTTTTCTATTGACAGAAAATTCCATTACAGTCTACATTTGCTATGGGTTAACGTGTGTATACAACCCAGCAGCAATATTATCTGCTTATTGTATTTAATATAAGTAAATGGTGTCGGGTTTTCCGACATAATTCCCCAGGGGCTGCTCACCGGTCGAAGTCCTATTTAGAACAGACGAACACCAATACTCCTCCTTCGAATTATTAGATTAATTTGATGTTAGTAATTAGTAATCACACATTTGTGCATCAGATCGTCCAGGACAGATGTCTCGTACTCGAGTTGCAGGGGTTAGAAGTCTAATGTGATTTCATTTCCCTGTTAACTCTTGAGAGGCTAAAATTCTAGCCTAATTACTATTATTTAACCCAGAGGACTGAATGCGATCAAGTACTACAGCCATGTATGATTCAGAGACTGCAGTGAGATCAGTGACATTAGTTATAATAATTTGAAACTTGTTCAGGTAATTGGTCACTGATATATCAACACTGAGGCCCATGGAATTCATCTTGATTAAATAGTAAGTGTATCAAAATCAGTCGTCGGATTTATAGTCAGTCATGCTCCCATAAGCTTATTTGCAGGAGTTTATTTGACTGACAAATTGGGGTTTAATTTAGTTAATTGATTCAGACAATTGAATAGTCATTCATTAAAGTCAAGTATGGTTCTGAGACTGCAGTGGGTT